GTTAGGATATGGGATGAGGGGAAGTGAGAGAAAAAGATGACTCAGATTTTTGATTCAGCAATATGAAAGTCCTGTTATTTGAATAGATGTAATAATACTAAAAATAATAATGTGATAATAGCATAAACTTTCTACACTCAAAGATATGTTGTTCTTGGCATGTGTTGTTCCCTTTGCCTGAAATGCTCATTTCCCTAGTTATCCATATGGCTTACTCCTTTACTTCCTTAGGGCTTCCATTTAAGTATCCCCTTCTCAGGTCTTTCCTAGCCATCCTATAAGAAATGCAATTTCCTCTCAACATATCCGGAGCCTCTTTCTCATTTTTCTCCTTCACATTTAGCACTCTTTTACATATTTTTCTTATATCACTTCTTTTTGCTTGCCTTTCCTCCTAGAAAATAAATTCCATGATGGCTAGAATTTAAGAAATTGGTGTCTGTTTTGTTCATTGTTATATTCCACTATATAGAACATAGCAGGGTATATAGTAGGTGCTCAATAAATATTTATTGAATCAATGGTCAAGTAAATGAAGGTGAGTCTTTCTATTTCTGGAATTATGAAAGAAATAAGAGACAACTCACCATGTTATTTTTAAGATGCCAAGATTGATACTAGAATTAATATTTCATAATTGATTATATTATCCATAGAAATTAAAAAGTTTAGCGAACTAGCTTCTATTTTAAAACCTTACTTTAGAATTATTTAAAAAATAACCCGTCAATTATAGGGGAAAACAAAAAATATAACTATGCAACATAACTTTCCAAATTTAATGTAGTATATTAATATAACATGTATTTTAAGAGTATATCAATATAACATGATATTTGCATTAAATTATTTTATGAAAATATTATAGAAGTTCAGAAGCTAACCTGAAAATGACTGACTATACCCATTAATGGAGCAAAAGCATATAATTCAGAGGCAGTCAGTCAGGTCTACAGACACAGCCCTGCAGAGAATGCCCTAGGCTAACTATACTATCCAAGGAGCAGTATACGAAAACAACATCTGTGAAATCACTTCTTTACTAACTTTCAATTATTACAAGGGCACACCATTTGTGCTTTTTTTAAAAAAATTATTTATTTATAGTTTTGAGACGGATTTTCATTCTTGTTGCCCAGGCTATAGTGCAGTGGCACAGTCTTGGTTCACTGCAACCTCCGCTTCCCAGATTCAAGCAATTCTCATGCCTTAGCCTCCCAAGTAGCTGGGGTTACAGGTGCCCACCACCACGCCCAGCTAATTTTTTTGTATTTTTAGTAGAGACAGGGTTTCACCATGTTGGCCAGGTTGGTCTCGAATGCCTAAACTCAGGTGATCCACCTGCCTTGATCTCTCAGAGTGCTGGGCTTACAGGTGTGAGCCACTGTGCCTTGCCAACTTGTGCTTTTTATACTCATCTTCATAAGGCCAATGGAGAAAATCAAGATATCTGTCAAAACATGTAGGAGCATTCCATATAAATCAAAGTAATTTAAAAACCTGATTAGATAGAAAAGGTAAAAAGCACTATTCCTTGAGTTGTTGCGTAAATATTTTTATGCTACATGTTTAGAGAAATTGGTTACTTTCCTACTTTTGTTTAACTCAACCTGCTGTGTTCTTCACAAGTTGACATTATTTATTCTAAAACTTAGATTTAATGTAAATTGGGGAGCTAACTACATAGAGTAGTTTCAAATTAATACTCTTCCCTAAGCCTTGAGTTAAATCAATCAAGCTCATTACCTACATTGAATCCATGATTGCCCATACTCTTTCCAATGGAATTAATTTGTTTTAGCTGAAAAGATTAGCTTTATTGCCTTCTTTAAAGCTCCTCATATCTTCAGCTAGCTTATCTGTTCCATTAGGCATTGATTTGCCTCACTACGCTGAGACCCTCTGCCAACAGAAATTGGACCTTAACAGAAGAGATAACGGCTATAAGCACAAAACCTATACATACAGAAGAGCGATAAATGTTCAAACTGGAGGCAAATAATTTGGAAAGCTGTTGAGTTCCTAAGATGCATGTATCTTTATTATAGATTTCCTCTTCCAACTCTTAGAGCCAATTCTTAGTGATTGCACAAAGTTTAAAACCATAATAATGAAGTTTTCATAATTAAATCACTTTTATATAACCTAATTGCTTCAAATATTACCACAACAGAACTTGTGCAGAGGAATTAAAGTTACATCTTCAAATTTACTCCTATCTTCATTAATAAGAATTGCATGGATATTTTTCTCATTTCCTAGAGACCATATATCACTATGACAAAACCTGTCCCCGAAGAAAGTATAGCTCTTGTTCTGCCTTTTTTAATGCTTCTGGGTGGCCACTGTCCATTCAAATGCCTTACGAAAATCAATTTACAACTGAGAACAATGTGCTAGTGGCTTCAATTTCTTCAGCAATATGCATGTATAGATGCTCAATCATCTAATAAAGATCTCTAACACCTTGATAATTTCTAAGAAGCCCTAAAACGCTTTTCCTTCAGTCATTCTATAAAATCTCCAGTTTTATATGTATGGAAAAAAACCTCTCCTCACTCCCTATATCTGAGATCATACACTGTAAAAAGGCTTTTAAGGAGATAGTGCTGAAATGTTGAATGATATGTTTTTCCTGCAAAGACAGTTCAATTGCAATGCGCTATTATTTCCCAATTCATTTTACCCTTTCATTTAAGTGAATTTATACCATCTATCACAAAATAGAAGACAAATATCTTTCATCTGTTTCTCATCTTGGTGAGGAAATACCTCCTACTTCTGTAACAATGTCACCTCATAACATCACTGTTGTGGATTTTTCCAAAGTCATCATTGCTGAACTAGGATAATTTTGTAGCAGGTTAACACGTGCCTGATGAAAAAACAGATTTGCTTCAAATGACACTGTGATTTTGAAGCATTTTTTGTTCTTTCTGTAATTTTTGTGTCACATGCATTTACTAGTCCTTAGCCACCATAATCTCTAGGGAAGTTTTAGTGCAGCTCAAAGGTATAAGATATTTTGTATCAATTTTATAAATCAAATATAGTAGAAGTCAATTATAATAAGACATAAAAATACTCAAAACCAGATATGATAAAGAATCAGAAAAAGAAAATAGACATCTTCACATTTTTTGGATTGATTTAATCTTAGAGGTTCCTGCAAAGCTGAGGTTAAAACCATTCTTTTTGCCTCTTTATCTTAAGGAATCCTTTGAGGAAAATAATATATTATAAAATGTCTATGTCAACTTATAAGAATACTTTTTAATTACTTTTTTAGTTTTAATAAAATATTTTGTAAATAATTTATATTTCCTTGTGATTCTAAGAGGAAACAAATTAAGTATCAATGTTTTCCAGAATATAAGTAAGTAAACCACACACCTAGTTAAGGAGAACAACAGGACATGGGAATATTTACTTTAAAATAACTGATTTTAAATATATATAATAATTACTCTATTTTAGAGGATAGCTTGTCCAAGGTTAAAATGCAGAAATTTCCAAATGGTACTAAACTGATTATTCACCTTACTCTTCTAAATTATTTATGTATAAAAATAATGCAACATTTGAATATTTCCAAAAAGCTCCAAATATTTCCTTCTCTTGAATGTGCAAAACTCTGATGAATGCAAGAATAGTTTGAGATTTTTAGGAATTAGAGGCTTATAATCCTACTTTTTTGCTTAAAAATATTTCTTGTAACTTCTAGTTTTCATAGCATATGTCTATGAAAAAGTATCTTTCTTCGACTATATTATTACAGAATGTTATCATTGTTCTGAAACGACATATTGACCTCTCCTCTCCTGCCCCATTGGTTGATTTTTCTTAACTCTTTGGGCTCTCCTGAACAGAGCCATAACCAGAGAGCAAAGAAGTTTGTTGCTAACTGAAAGAGCAACAATGAATTTTTGCTACATTGGTGAGTAGGAGTGCCTGATAGCTTTACATTTTGGCAAGATCTTTCTTCTAAACTTGCCTGAAAATAGATTTTCTTTGGCATGAAGGAGGGATACCAGAAAACAGTGGCACAAAATACGAGAAACAAGAAAAAGAGTGGCAGAAAAAAATATTGATGTTAAAAAGAAAAGGCTTTCTTGGAATAATGAAAGGGCATTATAAGTTTATGTACAAAGTTACTGTTTTTGTCCTTCTTTAGGATGTTGTTTTATATCTCTTTAATGACAAAAGTTAAACTATCCTGAATAGATCAATATTATGAGATAAACATTAAATAATATTTGTTTTCCTTCCAGGCCAATTGCTTTGTCCAAACATATATTGTATAAGCAAGGTTCAGGTCAAGACAGAGCTCAAAGCCCCTTGGTTTGAAAAGATATGAATGTTTGCTCTGGGGAGCTGAAGAGTTAGTAAGTAAACATTACTAATAACTGTACTTAATATAATCTTGAGTAGAAGTTCAAAGTCTACAATTTTATTCATCAGAACCATGTGTCTTTTATTATCAACACAAATACCTGCCCTTTGCAACATTTAGGCAGTAGTAGCCAGAACTGAAATGGTGAAACATCCTTATTTTGGAGTGAACATGAGGAAATAGAAGAAAATGTCATAGGAAATCCTTGGGGAAGAAAGGAGATAAAATTGGAATCACTAAAAGATAGCCAATGAGCTCATGGTCAGAATGTAAAATAGATAATTCAATTGTATATCAGAAATATAACTTTAATCTCAAGTTAAAAACCACAATGCAATAGAGATACATTCAGGAAAAAAAGTTTTCAATCAATAAGTTTCTTCTATATGGTTAAACCAATTTTTACCCAGTAATAAATGGAAGAAATGGGCATGTCATGAGATTTTCATATTTCAGAGGATATCTTCCTAATGTAAAATCCAAACTCTTAGCAATAAATTGTAACCAGTAGCTCTTTAACACCTCTGATTCCCTGTTAGCTTTCAATATGAAGAAGGAAATGCAATAATTATTTCTGGCAGCAAACATGTGTACATGCAATTCTTACCTGCCCCCCTTTAGGCTGGTATTTGATGTTGTCTGTTGATCCAATTTTGGATTTGACATTCTTCAGGTCTGGCAGTGGTTGGTTAATAAGCCGAAGCTGCTTGGGAGTCGCGGGAGATTTTGGAGGAGTACGTATGATGGCGACCTTCTTCTCACTCGGCACCAAGATGGCAGACTTGGGGGTTCCTGGTGTATGAGGGGTCCTGGGATAGCTAGGGGTTCCAGGAGTGCCTGGTGTGCGTGAAGAATAACTTGGTGGGGTGCCAGGAGTGATGGCAGTAGACCCAGGAGTAGTGGGTGTTGAGGTACCACTTTTTCCTGCTCTGCGAATTGGCTCTGACCCTGTATTAACAAGCAAGATCAAAACCAAACCAGAGTCAGAAAATTCTTCTCAAAACCTCCCTCTTCCCATAGATCATTAGAACTCATAATATGTGTAATTTCTAAGGTATTTAGAAATAGTTATTGTAATGATCACTATAGTGCTCAAGAAGCTTAGAGCCTCATTTCTGAAATCAGGTGCATAACCCAGTGACATTCTTTTGAAGATCTGTTGCTATCAATACAAAGAAAAAAAAAACAGATTTTTTTCTGATTTGTTCTCCTTAATTTTCATTATGAATGTGTCAAAAACTATTTTCTACTTGTGTGACTGTTAAGGTATATGGATCTGCCTTTAGTTGGAAAAGAGTTTACACTTAATGTCATATGCAGACCTATATTTACTGAAGATTCCTTGAATGATATGTAGATCATTCATTCCTTTATGCAGTAAATTCATTCTGAGATCCAGGTAAACATACAACATAGAATCATGTGTTTAGGACACATAGTTTTGGTCTGTATAGAAAGATCTGCATTTCATTATTATATCCTTACATTGAGGAACACTATGAGGTGTAAATGTGTTTATGAAAACTGTCAGACATTGCTCTACTTTATCATGTATTCTTTTCATAAGGAAAATTATCTCAGTGCTTCAAACAAATAAACAAAAAGTCTATTTCTTGCCTTAGAGACTTGGGATGTCCCAACAATATATTCCCAGTGAGTCTCATACCTGGTTGTGTTTTCTCCTCAGTTTTCATCACTAGTTTGGCAGTTTGGAGTTAAATTCCAAACCCTGCTAATGATACAGGATCTGAGATGCATTTCTTTGTCTCAAGTTGAGCTCAGCCTCACATTATTGTTATGCCCACCCCCCATTTCCCTATACTATGTTTCTTTCATCTTTTGAATGTATTTTGAATGACATTTCAAATACTTTTCTGAAAGAATGATAGAAATAAGAATACAACACCTTATAAATTTAAAAGCACTTTTGTGAATAACAACCGATAACTAGACAAACATGCACAACACAGTTGTTAGGGGCAGCTCTTATTAATCCGATGAAGTACGAATATTGAGGCTCATTTACCCAGATGTCACTAACGTCTAAGCCAGATACATTTAGCCCTGAGGATTTATATTTTTAAGCATGCACATTTCATTTATAATGTATTTTATATAAAAAGGATGATTTTCATTTTTTACTGCTGATTTACATTGATTATGTAAAAAAAATCAATGAATCTTCTGAAATTTTGTAGAGATAAATAAATAACAATTTTAAAGCCACCGAAGTGAAAGGAATCTTAGAGGTCACCTAATGCAATTGATCATAAATATAAGAAGTTCTTTCTGAGAAGTGGACTAGTCTTTGCCTAGTATTTACAAGGTATGAGCTCAGGAGCGCTTCTTATATACTTATGACCTACGCACAATGTAAATCCACCCATCACGATAGGTTCTATCACCTGGAGAAATGCACAACAATTTTATTTCCTCTTTCAGTGAACAGTTTTCACGTATCAAATGAAAGTGCCCTGTGTCTTTTCAGTCTTCTAATATAGGGAACAAGATAGTTAAACTCTTCAATTGATAATACGAAATGGGATATGAGAAGTCTAAAGTGGGAAATTAGCATGCATTCTGTGATTTTTATTGCTTTTCACAAGAATGACATTTCAAGACTAGGATGACACAACCATATCCAACTTGGCATTTTGTAACTTCCATGTTCTGGTTTGTTTTGGACTAGGTCTTTAACGTAGATGTCTGTCTCTATATCTGTATGAAAAATTTCTCCAGAAACATTATTTCTTTCTTGAATGTTTTCTCTATTTCCTTACCAGTTTTGAATAGCTCAGATATGCTGGGGAGAGGGATCGTCCCTGCATTTTTTGCCATTATATCTAGCCCTGGTGACTTTCATGTGAGCTGAATACAGTAGGTACACAACATATTGTTTAAATAAAATGTATTGTATTCAGAATTCATTGAAGTGTGCTGACGGTTTTTTGGCTTTATGGAGACTGAATTGAAGCAATATTCGGGATGTGGATAACAATTTTTACTATATGAAATAATTTTTTCTAAACTTCTAAGGAGTCATTTCCATACTTGTAGGACACACGTTAAGCTTCATCAAAGAAATATCATTTGAAACATGAAAACTATTCACTGAAAGAGGAAATAAAATTGTTCTGCATTTCTCCAGGAGATAGAACCTATGGCGATGGGTGGATTTACATTGTCCATAGGTCACAAGCATATAAGAAGCTCTCCTAGCTCACACCATGTAAATATTAGGCAAAGACTACATGTCCACTTCTCAGAAAGAACTTCCTATATTTATGATCAATTGCATTAGGTGATCTCATATTTCTTATGACCTCTTCATTAGAAATATGTTCTTAGCACATATTTCAAAGGACGCCAATACTCTAGGTTTTGTGTTACATCTGGAGAAAAAGAGTAAACAACAAATATTAAGGCCTTCACACTGCTGCTCAAAACATATGATCAATTTTTATTATAATAAATATGTTCTTGTCACCAAAACAATAAATTTGAATGCTTCCTATTTGTTCTGAACTTGAAGAGGTTAAATCTAAGGTCTAAAATAATTTTTAAAATATTTATATGCAAGTTACTTGATTAAGCTGTGTTCTTATTTATCTTCTCAATGACAATGACTTTCCTTCCTCTTGGGCGAATGAGCTTCCTGCAGAAGAAACATTGTTTCTTCAAATCTTTTCTGTTTTTTTTTTTTTTTTTTGAGACGGCATTTCGCTCTTGTTACCCAGGCTGGAGTGCAATGGCGCGATCTCGGCTCACCGCAACCTCCGCCTCCTGGGTTCAGGCAATTCTCCTGCCTCAGCCCCCTGAGTAGCTGGGATTACAGGCACGTGCCACCATGCCCAGCTAATTTTTTGTATCTTTAGTAGAGACGGGGTTTCACCATGTTTACCAGGATGGTGTCGATATCTTGACCTCGTGATCCACCCACCTCAGCCTCCCAAAGTGCTGGGATTACAGTTCAAATCTTTTCAATAGCTGCACAAAATGTTAGAATATTCGTGTGTACCACTAAGGGGATGGTAGGCAAGTAGAAGTGAGCAGAGTACTTGATCTTCCAGTCATCTTTATGCCTTTCAGCTATTGGTATGTAGAGATAAAACAGACCCTATGTTTTAAAATTATCAATGTGTAAGTTATGTTTGCTATCAAATAATACAATGCAAAATACTTGTAAACATCAGTAAATTTAAAAAGTCAAAATAGAATTGGTGCAGAACATTTAATGAATCAATTCATAAATGGATACACTTTAAAAGGCAGAACAGAACACCGTGGTTTGAAGAAGTGGATTTATGGAGAAGTGCCATTTTGCTTTTATGGCAACAAACACAAGCATAATTCAAGATGTTCAAAATAGAATTGGTGCAGAACATTTAATGAATCAGTTCATATATGGATACACTTTAAAAGGCAGAACACGGTGGTTTGAAGAAGTGGATTTAAAAAGAAGTGCCATTTTGCTTTTATAGCAACAAACACAAGCATAATTCAAGATGTTCTTTTGTAGAGTACTTAGTATCTTTGTCTTGTCTCATTATCAATGGGGTTATTAATGATGTTCAATTTTAACTCTAGATATTTAAATTTTCTTCCCTGGAGAGTACTAAATCTTAAATGCCCTCCCTGCTAATTCATTAGAATAATTTATTTTTGCTATGCTATGATAAAAGAGTTATTGTGATTTCAGTGTTCTTAGCACATCTTCAAAGGACACTAATACTCTAGGAAACAATTGGACACAATTACTCTTATTATAATAAACACTTTTCTTGTAGGTGAAAACACTGTTTAAATGCCAATAGTCATATTTAAGTGGAAAATAAGTGAAGTCAACTATAATGTGATAGTGGTAGCAATTTTCACCATTTAAAAATGGTTTTTAAATGACACAGATACTCTTCTCCAGATGATTCTACAGAGCAGTTCTCTAGTACTATTTCCTCCAAAACTGTAGAAAAGACATTAAGACTTCAGGTTGTGAAGTTATCAGTAGGCAGAAAACCAAATTCAACCACTTACTAGCTGTGCAGCACTAGACAAGTTACCCTCTCTAGAAGGTCAGTTTTGTCTTCAATAGATGGAATTGAGTTTAGTAATACCTACTCATTAGTTTTGCTAATTAAATATAGTGAAAAATGTATCTTAAGAGTTTGGCATCTATATGTGCTCAATAAATGGTAGCTATTTTGGTTGCAACAGAAAAGTACTTACGGAAGTAATTTACATCCATGCTTTACTAGATAGTTTGCCGCAATGCAACATCTAAGTGTATAATGATTGGAGCATTACATAAACTGTTTTAATTGCCAATCAGTTCATGAATGGGCCATCAATCAAGATAATTTGAAACTATTACATAGACTATGCTATATTTGTAGCTCATTTGGAATGTGAATTCTTAACAAGTTGAGCAGGATCCTAGGTTTTGACTGTCGACTTTACAGTTAGATTTTACAACTTGGAAATCAAATAAGTGTTAAGCTCTTATAGACATATATTTTTAAAAATCCTTGACTATTGATTTTCTACATTGATTACTTCTTTAGAATTTTCTTTCTGCAATAAATTTGAAGCAAAAAAGAAAATACATTCTTAGAAAATAACTTTATCTCAATCTTAGATAATAGGGTGATATGTTACCATTTTCTCCATCAATTGTTTTTACTCAAACAGCTATTTGTGGATTTTCTGATTCTTAGGTAAAATATAATCTAGTCTTAATGCATGATTTATTTTTACAAATTAAAATATAAATATAAGTGCTATTCCACTTAAAGGATTTAAAAAGTGCTTAAAAAGGAAGTCAAATCAAAATAAACCTACTGGTGGTCCGTCGTGCTGAAGAAGACATAGAACTGTTGAGAGAGAAGGAATTCTCATCTCTGTCTCCTGATACACCTCGGCGAGGAGGAAGAATGGAGGAAGGTCTTGGGAGAGAAGAGCGCTTTTCTGGGCTCTTGGTTACTCCATCCTGATTGGAGAAAACAAAAGGACATTGGGTTCTTGCAACTCTTTAATTTATGCAAAGTGATATTGATTTTGCTATTTTTCCTCCTGTGCTGATAGATGAATTTCTTTAAATACAGACTACTGGATTTCACATATTTATAAGCATTTCTACTTTACAATTTAGGAATAGTGCATATTTGCCTAGGTATTTTATAAAAATATGTTATTTTGGAGCTCTGAAAACTGAATGTGAAGTTCAAGTTCTAAATGATAATATAGGTAAAATAAATGTACTCAAGCAATCTTCAGCAAATTACTAATTTTATTGAAAAATCTTCATTAGCATGATAATTTATTAATCAGAAAGGACTGAGGGTGGCTCACTGCATGCATAATATTTCTAACAATGACCACTACCATATATTGTGCATGTATGTGACAGGAACTCTCTATAGTTTAAATCCACTTATTATTTCATTCTCACCACAAAACATGATGCACATGGTAAAGCTGTCTGAAGAAACAGGTTTAATAAGTTCATGTAATTGTTTCAAGATAATTGAGTTGGTAGGTGACAGATACAGTATTAAACTCTGATGTATATGATGTTAAGTTTGAATTGTCTATTATAGTCTATATGATATAATTTGTTATTATTGTTCTACACACTATTATATATCATATATGAGAATATATTTTGTTGTTAGTTTGCATTTGATATTTTACCAGATAATCAAACCATAAATTAATAATGGGTAGTATATCTAGAAAAAGACATATTTTCTACATTTAGAGAATAGGTGTACTGTTTATCAAAATTTTTAATTTATATTTGTTTTTAAAAGGGCCTATGATTTATGTGTCAAACACTTCAGAATGTAAAGTATCTGCTTTCATACATTTCCTGAATTATTTTCTATAACATAACCTTCTCCCAAATTCTATTTCTTTCTGCACCTTTTATTGACCTGCTGCCTTACCTTGTTCCCTGATTTTGAGTATGGCAAACGGTCTGTGGAGCCTGCTGAGGTGGACTGTATTAATAAACTGTCAGAAAATGTAGCCCTTTTAGTCGTGCTAGGGCAGGCTGAGCTGTATCTTGGGGACTTTGTGCTACCCTGTAAAGCAGGAATCTTTGACAAGGTAGAATTCTAGCCATGAAAGAAAACAAACAAAAGCACAAAATAAACCAAACTATGAAGTAAAAGGAAAATAATAAAAGAAGATTAAACGTATAAGAAACTCAAAGTGTTTTTAATAAGAACACATGATAAATGGTTATAATCCATGATAGAGATGTGTACTTAGATGAGAATAGATTTTCATTGAACAGCTCTTTTAAGCCAAAACTAACTTAATAATACTCATATAAAAATATCTACTATAACAAAACCAAATATCACATGTTCTCATTGATAAGTGGGAGCTAAACACTGGGTAAACACGGACATAAAGATGGCAACAGTAGACACTGGAGACTCCAAAAGTCGGGGAAGGATTGAAAAACTTCCTATTGGGAACTATGTTCACTATTTGGGTGATGGAATCAATATAAGCCCAAACCTCAGCATCGCGTAATATACCCTTGTAACAAGCCTGCACAGGGACAACCTGATTAAAAATAAAATAATATAATCTGTTATACAAAGAAAACAAAAAAATAATGCTAAATCATTTTATTTTGTATTAACCAGGTCTAGAACAGCTATCCATGTTATTTGCTCTTCTTTACTTCCAAATGTGATTGTTTATGTTTGGTAGATCGTAGAGACCCAATGGATAATTGCTGATTGCTGAATAAACGATGAGTGAGTGGGTGGATAGATGGATAGAAGGACAGAAGAAAGAATAATATTGCTTAGATATAAAGGAATCAGCTCTTTGAAATCCTGAGACCAAAGCAAGTCTCTCTGTCTTTTTTTTTTAATAGAATAAGCCTTAATAGAGAAAGAATGTTACAGGTGACAACTAGCCAAACTCTCTTTTTGCTGAGTGATTAAATTTTGTTTTTTTAAAAAATGATTCTATACATAGTTCTCTCATTTAAGGACAATGTAAACAAAATATTCTTTTTGGATTCTATATATAGAGTCTCTAATTAATTAATAAGTTTTATTATGATAACACATTTGGAAATATCTTCTAATATCCAATCTGCTGGAATTATTCCTTTAATAAACTCAGCCTTTAAGGTGTACATATAATCATATCTTAATCATGCTTCAAGAATTTTAGAACAAGGTATATTTGAGGCTTAACAATAAAAAAAGTATTTTTAAAGATTGACAAAATTTATTTTCAGGTAATCTACATTGACTTCAACAGAAACTTTTCAGAGTTTATATATAATTAGTTCATTTTATAAGTAAAACACATACTGTGGACTAAGGTATACCATAGAACTAATAACATTTTTATGCAAAGACTATAGTCTGCATGATGTGTTATGAATTCTAAAAAGGAAAGTCAGGACTGAAAAGATTGCCAATAAAAATAACAACTTAATTTACAGGTGTTGATAACCCCTGAGGAGACTGTCTACAACTATAATTGGGAAGAATGTATGGCTTTTGGAGAAAGCTATGCCAGATGCCGTATGTCTCATGGGTGACAAAAATATAGACAAGTACAACAAAACCAAGGAGATTATTATCTTCAAATAATTAATTTGATTTAGCTGTTACAAAAATGACAGATAAAACTGAGATTTTATATCAAGTTTTAACCTCTGTAGCTACAACAGAGACATAAATATTTACAGACTGTACAAATCACTTCTTGTTTTATGGACCCAGTATCTTGAGTGGGAAGTGTAATTAAGTCAGGACAAGTCATTCTTTTTTGATTGATCTTACCCACAAAGGAGTGAGTTTCAAAAGTGTGATATAGAAGAGAAAAATAAATTGGATTGCTTGTAGTTAAGAAAGACAACTATTAATACTAAACAAACAAACAACAGAAAAACGTAAGTGAAATGCAGGATTATGGGTGGGTCTGGTTCCTAATAAAGAGCAATTTAAAAAAATCATCACAGGCATCCCATAAATATATACACCTACTATGTACCCATAGAAAAAAATTAAGTTAAAAAAAGTGAATTAAAAAGAGCATAAAATGACCAAAAAAAATCAGAGAACTGTTCTGATGGATATACTGAATATAAGCGCTAAATCAAATAAAAGTTGCTTGGGGTTTTAGAAAACTTATAGGACAAGTATATGGCATTAGGAAGAAAAAAGCTAATAAATGAGAAAAAAAGAGAGAATGAAGGACTAATTCTTCTTCAGAAAGACAAGATGGGTATTTAGAAAGAAAGAAGTTTGTTTTGTGTCAGACAATGCATATAGCTCTGTTCCAAGTGCTGAATCTATTGAGTTACTCAAAGACCAAGGGGCTTAAAAATTTCCTAAAAATGTTCCAAATAATGTCAACCTGAAGAAGAAAATCTCAGACTTGTTTTCTATATCTGCTCCTGAAAACTTCCACTGTTCAGTTAATTAAAGTAATAACTAACAACTATTACCATTTATTAAGTGACTGCTATGTTCTAAGCATTATACTGCATACTGTTTTATAGCATTATTACATTTAATTTTTATAACTAACTCATGATACAGGAATTTTGTCCTCTCCCTTTATTTTTAGAAAATTAAGAACTATGAAGAAAAGGGTCATATAATTAATAGATGTTCCAGATTTGAACATGGTCTGTTTCATAGCCCTATGGTTAACCACCATAAATCATTAGTTTGGAAACAGAAGGTAAAGAAATACAAATCCTGAAATCACATTATGTTTATAATGAAGCCTAATATTTACCAAAGCAATAAATGAATTCTGTTGCTTGCCATATGTTCACGAATATATCTGAAACATTTGTATAAAAATCAAGTATCATCCTTTACCAATCTAAAACCCCTCAGGTTCAAGATCAAAGATTTGCCTGTCATAGGAAATGAATCACTACTTTTTATAATAAGTAAAAGGAGAAGTCTAAAATCTTACTGGTTTTTAGAAAGGTAAACTAAGAATTGTGACTTACATATTATGTGTTTGCTCAGACTCAGAACATGGTTATAAGCTACTAAATAATTCAAATTATTTGTTCCAATTTTAAAATTTCATTACTAGTCTTTTAATTTTTTTCTTTCAGTCACAAAGGAGTAAAAACACTTTATATTGGTTTTGGTCATTAAAATATAGTTAATAATATAAAAACAAATTTCACAGGAAAAAATTAGAAAAGATTTATAAACATATGAGGAAGTTAAACACCATTAATACAACCAAAATAAATTTTTAAATAATAATATATTATGCCATCTGCATAATATGGCAAATGTAGCGCAATATAAAATATGTAGTAACAATAATGAATATGAACACGCTCCTTAAACAGAATGTATAAGTGGGTAGAACCTTTACAGAGGGCAGTTTGGCAATATGAAACAAAAACTTTAAATATGAACATTTTTCTTGGAACAATTTAACTAGTAGAAAATTATCTGAAGGAAATGGCATACAAATGCATTTATGAACTGAACGTAGCCAAAAAGTTCTCTAAAGTAATATTGTTAAAATAACAGTACCAACAAAACTTTAAGTGTCAAATAATAGGAAACTGATTAAGTATATCATTGCAAAGAAATAAAATGCAGTATTATGTAGTCATTAAAACTATTACAAAATGTTCAATGACATGGAAGTACATTTACTGTTTAATTTAAACATTGACACATGGTGTTCTCATTTTTGTTGTTAAGCCTACAAATGTATAGAAAAAATTTAAAACTTTACATCAAAATGGTAACTGTATTTATCTTTATGATAAGGGGATTATAATTGATTTTTACTTATTTTTGCTTGTGTAATTGCTTCATTTGATCATATTTTATTTTGTAACAAAAACAATGAAAGTGTATTATAAAATATAGTTACTATTGATTATATGGTTTAATTTGATTTTATGAAAAGTAAATAAGTTGGGCTTCCTTATTTCTGCCATATCATTGTGCTGCTTTACATGTTTTTGTCTTACTAGTAAGGAGGCAGTCCAGTTGTGTCCTCACCAATTACCATCATATGTCATCCCAGAAGACATTCATCCTTCCATGCCTGGATGCCACAGAGAATCTTCTGGGTGAGCGAACTATTTAAAATGACTTTTAAGAGTAAATGTCTAAACAATATCAAAAGTTATTCCAATGTTGCAACTAACACCAAAGAAACTTCAAATGAAGAACAAGGAAAAACTTATTTTACTCACAGAGACTTTGTCCTTTGCCTGTTTAAATACACTGGGAGCCACAGCTGATTCCCCACCTGCTGCTGTTGAAAATAAAAGACAAACAACCCCAAACTCAGTGGCTAAAAACTCATAAATGCACTTTTAAATACCTTTAGGATATTTTGCTGTGTCAAAAGACTAATGCAAAGCAAAAGTTTGCTTATTTTGAGAACAAAATCTGAATAACAGTAACATAGCATGTGACTCCAACTATAGTGTGTGCTAATTAATATAACCCATTGTCTACCAAAGCACAGGTAAGCACACCACATAATTTTTCTATGGGCTACCAACGTACCATTGAGTCACTAAAGTATATAAGTATAGATCCTTTAGAACAGAAGTTACAGAATAGCAATGTGAGGTTTGCAAAATTTAAGAAAAAGGACACTGATTGGTGTCTGGGGTTTGCACGATATATAGAAGAGGGCTTATAGAGATTTCCAAACCCTCTTCTTGTTCTGGACGCCACTGGCATACCAACAGATATTTTGGCATTTTACATTTCAAACTGTCATGATCGGTCAACCCCTTTCCCTTTGTACCCCTTCATTTCACAATATGAATGACACACTTGTTTGATGTGAAAATGCCACATGGGAAGGAAGAAAAATAGCTTGTCAAGAACAGAAAACATGAGAGAAATTTTAAGTTCAGTAAATACAGAACATGTTCTACACATGCACTTCCTGTAAGAAATTATTACCACATCTGTTACTGTTGTTTCTCTTGCTGCTGTTTTATGCTTCTGGTTTGAATTTTAAACTCCATTTTCTCTAGCATATTTTGGTTGATGACTTACCTGTGTTGGCTTAGCTCTCACGATTTAAAACAATCCTTTGTGGTTTGGAAAACCATCTACGTTTGAAAACTGGGCTTAGAAAATAAAATAATCAAGCTTGTGTGTTTATTCCTCCTTAATTTTCATTCATAAAATAGAAACCCTCAGGAAAAAAATATGTATCCTTATAAGCCCTCTGAATAAATTTCAAAAAGGTAGTTTATGACATATACAGTTCTAACACAAAAATAGTAACTGTCTGCAATATGCTTTATGTCATGTGGGTCTAGCTAGTGAGATTATTCAGATTCTAGGACTCACTCTTTTTAAGGAAGCAGTAAAAACAATGCCTTCTTACTACCTCTGTAACATAACTCAAATTCTTGTGACATGTATAGCTTGCTTCAAACCAATGACACCTATATCTGATACATGCTTTCTCCTAAAGTATCTTAACATTAGACCAGAATAAAGGAAAATCTTAATTAGTCCAAAGATTTTAAATTTCTTTTAAAGAATTAATAAAAACATGATTTACTTTCAATGTGGTCAATTGAATACCAATGACATGTAAACAAACCATTTTACATTTTATCTAAAATTCCACAGTCCTGATGACATCTTTCATCCTTTTAGGTAGGTTACAGAGTTTTTATGCTAAATCAGGAGATTCTGCTTGCCCAAGGAATTTTGCTACTAAGTTTAATGAAGCCATTAATTTGCTATTAAGTGTAATGAAGCTAAAAACCTGAGAAAATGAACTGAGGTATATCATGTTAATTCCTAACTTCTAGCTTCAGAGATATTCTTCACCCTAAAGCTTTAACAAGGTGTGTTATATATAAACCTTCCATTTTCAAATCCTGCCTTAAATACGTGTTTTGAAGGAAAGCACATGATACGATTTCTAGATGAAGAACACAAATACAAAATACTTAGAATTTTCAATGGCTAAAATAAAAACATCAGTTACCTTGATTTTCTCTTTCTCACAAAGGCTAATGTTCCTCTGAACTTTTAAAATCATCCAAAGATTTATATAGAAGCATTGATGATGTACAACGGAAAGAAGAATATTCCTTTCTGATTTAGCAATCTGTTATTTTGTAGACTACAAGCATGCCACTTAATAAACGCTAAAATAACATATACTGTAAGGTAAGATTATCCTATATACTTAAACATATAAAATAAATACTTTGCACTGAAATTTAGAAAAAAGTTGGCATCACAGATACTTGTAGGGGTTTTTATGATGGTTTCCAACGTGTTTCATTCCTTTGTTTTACCAGTTTTATAAACTTAGGAAAAAATATGTATTTGAAGAAGAGAAATAAGTAGGTAGCAAAGTAAAAATAAATCGAAGTTTATTTCTAACTTAAATTCCTCCTAAAAGGGAGAGTTTTATCTTAGAATTTTTGAATACTGAATTATATAGAAAAGTCAAACAGTTTGGATCCAACATATTTAAGAAAGTCCCCATGACAAAAATGTCAGCTGAGAGATGTAGTTCAGTAAAAACCTTGCTAATTTTGGATATGAGGAATAAAATCTGATATAATTACCAGAAAAATTTGTTGTTTTTTTTTTTCAGCAAAAGCAAAGCAATTTTGCAAACCACAATTTCACTTCCCGGCTTACTTTTCATTTTCAATATCTAAATCACTACATATTCTTAGTGGTTTTCAATAAATTCATCAACATCAGTAACAGATTTGGCAGTAACAATGTAGAAAATAGGACAAATATTTATGAGTTTAAGCATGAAAGAGATAAATACGCAAAATAATGAGAATGCATACCACGGTTAAATTCATCGCCATCGTCTAACCAAACACACAGAATGAAAATAGGAATCCCCAGAACGTGACACTAGAGCACAATGCCAAGATACAATCACGCACTGTTATGTCTGAGCATGACAAAGAAACAGATGGTCATGACCTTTTCTGTAAGGAAGGGGGAAAAAAGAATAATGATACAAGACACTTAATAGCAAAATTGTTCATGACTGCTGAAATTCTTGGAAGAAAAACAAAATGAAGAAGCTGCTACAGTAATGATATTAAAAAAAAATACATGTCTATGTTTGCCAGTCACATTGCAGAATTGAACAGTCACCTGTGGTTTTCCGCTTAACACAGGAGAGATGAGTTGGTCTAGTATATTTGATAGCAGGTTTTAAAATGAATTTCCTGGAGGGAGAGTGGGCCTGAACTTCTGTTTTTTTAGCAAGTTCAGCCTTCTTATAAACTGCTATGAATAAGAAAACACAAAAAGCATACCATCAGGAAAAAATAAACACTTGGAGCAAAACCGAACGAAATTTTATAAATAGTTACCACTGTTAGGCAGTTTTTCTGCAAAAAAGTAATAATGAATTACTTCAAAAACATTTTCAAAGAAGTGATTGTTAAATGAACCTTTTTTCCTTCTCACTTCATCTCTGGAGACTGTGCTAGGTTCCTTTTTAGCTACTTTTCTTTCAGGAGTGGAAATTCTGCCTCTCCCAGTTTTAAAAGGCTTTTCTTTTCTATGTTTCTCAAGAGATGATCTCCGAGCTTCCTTTTCAGCTTTCTCCTCTTTAGGAATAGTTTCTAACTGTTCTGTCATGATGCTCCTATCATCATCTGTGGATCAAAGCAAATCATGACAACAACAACAACAACAACAACAGCGAAAACATTAGTAACAAGTGTACAAAATCCTTCATATATTTAACAAAATGCAAAATAAAGAGATAAAGAGGTATTTTTAAATATTTAAATGAAAAAAATTCCCATAAGTTACTGTGTTTGAGTTGGGAGTAGAAAACTAAAATAATAATAATAATAATAATAATGCACACCTTGAGTGTCCACCCAGAGGCTGTCAGCATCCATGATGGAGTCATCAATGGTGGTCTCGTCTTTGTAATCGTCATAGGTTTCTGTCTTATATTCAGAAAGTGCAACTTCTTCTCTCTCGGGGGAAGCTGGAGCCTCCGGGGAACCATCTTTGGGTTCTGCCTGGGCTTCAGCTGCCTCTTCGACATCGAACTCTTCTTCGTCATGAGGGGATGGTCTCCTTTCCACCTCAGGCTGGTCTAGGGCTGCAAAACGCACACTGTGGGACCCTGACTCCCCTTCATCAGTTGTGGTTTGCACTACAGTGATGAAATCATCCTCGATGGTCACAATGGATTCAATCACTCCTTTGTGTTCACCTGGGCAGGTCTCCACAAATTCCTCCCTGGCACCTGAGGCACCCAAGTCAGTAATCTGAAGGGTATCTGAGCGGAAGAGCAGTTTATCATATTCTCCCTGGGCTTCTATCTCTTCTTCCTCACTCTGAACCTCTGCTGGTTCAGATATGATTGCTTCATGCACTGGCTCTGCAACATCAGAAGGTGTGATGGATATATCTGGAGTCTCTTTGCTTTCTTCTTTTGGCCCCTGAATAAATTCCATCTGGACATCAGCTTTCTCATCTGTAGCTAAATCAGCCTCTGAAACAGCAGGTGGGCAAGGTATTTCCACTGACAATTTGATGGCAATCTCATCTTGAATTAGAGATGATTCGGGAGATGTTTCCTTCTTGCCCTCATCAGCTTTCAGGGACTCCATGGTGAGACTTTCATGCTCACCACTAGACTCATAGGACTCCTCCTTGTCTACAGCCTCCTGGTGCACCAAGTCAGGCTTGGCCACTTTCTCTTTGACTTCTGTCTCACTAACTTTGGTGCCTTCTTTCATGTGGCCAGACTCAACACCCATAAATGCATCTGCCTCCTGTGGTGCTTTGGATGAGGGGGTCATGTCCTGTGTAGCCTCAAGTTTTAGCTCTGTTGCCCTTCTAGCATCTATGTTTAGCCCTGAAGCCATCTGTCCAAAGTCACTAATTTTAACATCTATTTGACCCTGGACAGCTTTGTTGGCAGCAAAATCCAGACCTTGTTCTGCTTTTTTGGATGGTTCTACCTCAGCTACCTCTGGCACTGAACTAAGACCCTTCTCTACTTTCTCAGAGGATGCATCTGTTGGTATTGACAAATCTTTGGCCAAAGCTTGTTCATAGGTTACTCCTAATCCAAATGTTTCCACTTTATCACCAGCCTCTTCAGTTTTCTTGGCATGTTCTTTTGAATCAGCATGTTCTTCACTCTTTTCTAGTACAGTATCCAGCCTATCGCTAGCTTTCCTCTCTTGGTCAAACTCCTTACTCAGTCCTGATTTGTCACCAGAGATAGGCAGGGATGCTTCTTTGTCTACACTGAACTCATCTTTGACTCTTCCGGCTGCTGCCAGTTTCACTTCAATCAATGAAAGGTCTGTGGCCAAATCTCTTCGAACTTTATCATCAGTACCTTCATAAAAGGAACCACTCTCCCCTGATAAGTTCTCACTGTCTTGAACAGGCGATGGCAATGGGACTGTGTATTTATTGAACACACAGTAGCCCAGGTCTTCGAGCTGACTGTCAGTTTTTACAATGACATGGTTTTCATCAGTTACTGGGGGCAAGCCAGTACGACTATCCTCAACCACCATCTCTGATGGGACTGATTTCCTCCTGGCAACCTCAGCATCTGCACTCACAGAAGCCAATCTTGACCTTGTGCCTGCCAGATCTAGCATTTCAGGCAGGTCAGGTGCCATGACAGTACCATTTTTGTAAAAATCTTTGGCGAGGAAAGGAGACTCACATGTCGTCTCCACTTGAGTATTTTCTTCTCCAGTAGTTTTTACTTTCTCCATCTGTTCTTCCTCTTTGCTTTCTACAGGGAAGCAAGGGGCTTTCTCCAGTGCAGGTGTGGTGGCTGGAAGGTAATCATCCCCTTCATCCATACTTCCACTAGTGTTGGTTAGAATATCGGAAGCCAGAGGAGAAAGATCATGACCCCGACCAAAGTTAAATCCAAGGGCTATGGAATCTAGGCAAGACATGGGTAAATTGATTGACATGCTTCTTTGTTCAATTGCAGACCTACCACCAAGTCCTAAACTCCTGCTAAGGGTCAAATCATCCTTATTCTTACTGTGGAGGTCCCTTTTCTCTCCATATACTTTTGGATCAATAGTGAACATTCTTTCTTGAGGAGAACTGGGTTCTTCAGGTAAATCAGACTGATAACTCTGTGCGAGAGTGCTGTACCCTGCTTCCTGGGCTGGAGGACTGGGCTGGGATTCTTTTCCTGTTTGAAATTCCTTGTCACCATTTTTATGCATGGGAGACATAGTATCAATAGACTCATGGACACTTTCTCTAGTGTCACTCAGTTCATAGTAATCACTGCCTGGCTGAATGCTTTTTGTTGCTTCTTCTTTCAAGGCAGATGTTTCAAAATACTTGGACATTCCTGATTTATCTTCATAAAATGGCATGTCAAGCTCAGCTGATGTTGCAGCTCCAACTCCTTCAATCTTATCTTTGTCATCGACTCTCATATCAAAAAGTTCCTGAATTGAGCTTTTTTCAATTAATGCAGATGGTTCAGTCATGGCTTTCTCCAGTGTTTTAGAGGTCACAGCTGAATCTGTAACTGCTTGCTCCAAACTTACAGGGAATAAGTCCTGTTTCAACATATCTGTGGTAGGCTCGTGGCCTTTCTGTTCTGAGAAAGTGTGCTCTGTGGAGGTCTGGATTATGCCTGTTTCTTCATCTGCAAGTTTTGGGGGTCTAGTCTCTTTTGGAACAGCTTCTTTGTCAGAAATGATGGTTTTTTCTTCAAGCTTCAGCTCAGGTTCCTTTTCAGTAAGTGTAGGTTCCTGTCCACTGGGGGTGAAAATGTCTTTTTGCTGCACAATCTCTTGTTTTATGGCCTCCTTTTCTTCCTCTAAGACTTCTCCCATAACATGTTCTTCTACAACTGGAATGTGAGCATTTTTGGGTAAAGTCATTGCCTCTGAGGGTGGTACTTCTGCCATTTTGTCAGGTTTATCCTTATGGGGCTCTTCAATTTCAGAACTATCTTTGGCAGTAGCTGGGCCACTCGTTTGTTGCAGAGATTTTTTGTCATCTGGCTGTAAAAAGGCAGGGGTGAAAGGTGATGTTTCTGTAACTATTTCACTCTTCATGACATCTAAAGGAAGAGTGAAGCTTCCACCTTGAAAGGGACTTGGCATGGGAGAATCAAATTGTTTCCCTTCCCATTTTGGAATATCATCAAATACATCTTTTTCCCTCATGGGAGTCAGCGGGCCAGGAGATATGGGAGCAACTAAACCCCACTCATCCTTTTTTGCTTCGGTTGGCATTTCAATGAACCAGTCTTTTTGTTCTTTTGGAGTTGGAGGCTCTTTAGGGAGGTCAATGCCAGGTACTACAAGGCTTGGTTCTGTCTTCTGTTTCATGTCTTCCAGATTGGCAACAAGAGTGTGCCCAAACAAAGCTGGTGCCTTTTCTTCTTCTGTGCCTTGCATGTCCTTTTCATCAGGATAAGTTTTAGTTGTCTCTGGTTGAGAAACTAAGGCAGCATGTTTAAGGTCTTCACCAGGCTTACTTTGCTTCTCTGACTCCTTTTCCTTCTTGTCTAAAGGCTCAACTGCAGAGGAAGTCAATTCCTGCTGATGATGGAACTCCATCTTCGAGGCTGTAAGTAAATCTGAAGTAATCGGGTTGATTTTTAAACAAATAATAGACAAGAGAGTTCAGGACATAAGCTTAAAATTATATTTTGAAATGATAAATGAATGGTAGAATAAAAATAAAAATATGGAACATGCAAGCATGCTACCCATGTAAAAATCAGTATGAAAAGGTCAGGACTAATATCCATGTGTACTATTACTAAAATGAACTCTGGTTGTAAATTAATGTGCAAAGGAATTATAAGAACAGTATACTTCTGGATACTCTTTCCTCTTTTTTTATTTTTCAGTCTCTCCTAAACATTATGTGATGTGTATTATAGAAGAAACAAAATTCAAATATTGAATAAGTAGCTAATGTTAGGGTACAGAAGGATATATAGTAAGGACTAAATATACATATGAATTGATTTCTACTGAACATTTTCATTGGTTTTATCATTTAAAAATGAATTGGTAGGCTATGGGCAGAAGGCCAAGTCATGCACAATGATATAATATTAATAGTTCCAGTTAACTTGATCAACAAATGTCAGGACCAATTCTTTAGGCATCCACAGGTTACTGGCATAAATTTTTAGAATTCATCTAAGATTAAATTTCAGAAATATAAGTAACTATTTGCTATCAATTTTATGTGATATGACTTAATAATGTACAAGCCAATTTCTATCACATATTTAAAATTTTAAATTTCTAATCATTACTTAGTCTTATAACAGATATAAGAAAATCTGAATTATACTGTTGATATGGGAAAAGGCAGGGGCAAAGTGAGTAACAAATTTTTCAAAAGAGTCAACTATTGAAATAACTTTTTCTCCATGGTCATCACCTCATTCCTTGAAACATGACCAACTGGTGAAGCATTGGCTAGTATTGACTTTAGAGGTGCTCTGCAGAAATTAGATAACACATTTTAATTTTTATTTACTTAACAATCTAAAAGGCTTTATTGTCCCACTTGTCTTTTAAGGTCAAAGGTATTTCACTGTGGTCATTATAGCTAAACGTAGTTACCTGGAAAAGATTTGGGGAAAAATAATAAAATTCAACCATCTCTGAAAGAGCAAGTGCATGGATTATCATTACCTTATCTACTTATGTGTCCTGTTGTAACAATAAAAAAAAAGTTTATGAACTTCTAATAAAGGTTAGATTAATGAAAACTCAAGAGATGTGGGGATGATCAGAAGGTTGGCTGCCATGGGGAGAAAATGATATGAGAAGCATCAGCAGGAGCTCAAGAAAATCAAACCAGTATTCACTGAAGCATAAAATATACAGCACATTTTGGTTGCAAACAAAAACGATTGTACCATTTAAGCCTCGATGTGCCAAAATCCAGCTGTACAATTTGAAATAAAAGCATATGAATTGCTGTCCCCAAAATAAAAACAAAAATATACATGTATTAGCAATGTGACTGGCAAACATTTGAGATGAGGGGGTGGGTAAAAAAAAAAGAAAAAAAAAAAAGAAGCTCACATAGCATCATCAGCCTGGCTGCAAAGCGTATTGTATCATGGCAAAGGAAATCAGGAATCAGCTACAGCACTGGAAAACCAAGCTGCCACATGGCACTTGCGCAAGCCACACTCTCTGCACATTAAGCCTACAATAGTGGACTTGTTATTTTGTAAGACGACCCAGCGATGAAATAGCGAAATAGCGTTGGAAAGGCATCAGGTTGGTAAGCCACTGGAGAGATCATTTGCAACAAAACATGCAAATCCTGAGAAAGACACACCTTCCCCAGCAGAGGAAGGGGTTTTTACTTCTGGAGACACCTCCTTGACCTCTTTTACACTTTTCTCATGTGGGGCCCCTGCTGGAGCACTTTCTTCAGGATCTATTTGGGCCTCCGCACTAGACTCCACTTGGCCCTTACTGAGGCCTGTGGGTTGGTCTGAGGACTTAGCAGCCCCATACTCTTTCTCAGGAAGAGTAGCAGGTTTCTCTTCCTCAGCCATCCGACTCTCTAGCATTTCTTCTTCTTAGGAATGAAAGAGATGTTGACATCATGACCACAGAACAATACATGAAACGACAGAAATATTACTTAAGGAACACTTTCAGCTCCGTTAGAATGACTTCATGAAGATCTCAGCTGTTTTTTTAATTTTGCCATTTGGATGAACAAATTAATACTCTATGCAACATACATTATGTACTGGTTGGAAAACTAGGATGTATAATCTGCTAATAGTGATGACTTTTAAAGTCTCATTAAAAGGCAATGTATTTTAAAATTTGAGAGCTGAAAGGGTTGTATTGACTGATTACCCTAGTGGAAATGGCAGTAAGTTGCACGCGTGTGGAAAGCTTGCTGGAAATAAGAGATGGTGCTGCCGGATAACAGATGGCTGTGAAAAGATGAATGTACTGATATACTGAAAAAAAAACCTTAAAATTTGTTAGACATGTGCTGTTTTCGCCAATGCAGGAAGCCCCTACATAAGAATTCCCGACTGCTTTATTTAAAATGTGCAAATTTTGCTAAAGAAATCTTTGGGAATAAAAAAAGCTTTGCCTCAAAAAAATATCCAACCAACTACCTTAACAGTTTTATAACAAAGTCCATCAAAGTTGCTTAAAATATAATTTATTTAGCATTTCCAAGATAACGGACTATCTAAGTCAAGTTACGATAGCTTCATTGCATTATATGATGTTGGAAAAAATGAACATTTTCAAGAAGTAAGTAAAGTAAAATAAGTTAAAAACAAAAGGTAAAATGTAAATCTATTTACAAAAGTCTACCTCTGGGAAACAACTATTGTATTAAGTCCCTGAGATATCAGTAATGTAGTTCATGCATAATTCTCTTTGATACTAAAGAAAAAGTATGCACATTAGTAATAAAGTCTTCTTTCTGTAATTCAAATCAAAATCTCCAAGGAAAGATACTTGAGTGGTAATCAAACAGTCAAATAACCACTCCCAAAACCATGAATATCAAATTAAAAAGTTAACATTTAAGATATAAAGACAAGTTTTTCAAGTTCATTAGTTATTGCACTCATTTATTTCTCATTTACACTTGAAATGTCAATAAAAATAAGTAAATCCCATTTTGTCCCTTAAGAAATTAGAGGGAATTATGTAAGCTATTTTATAGTTTTGTAAATGGAATATTCTTACAAAATTCTTATGAAATAGTTTTATATTGTTTAAACAGCACTGAGGGAAAGACTACAGATAGAAAGAAAAGAAATTCTCTTTTCTTTCTTTTTTTTTTAAGAAATATTAATAACCTCAGAGAGAAACAGAGAGAGAGAAAAAAACTACTTTATCTCTTCATATTTAGCACTCACTTTTATTTTTGTAATTTAAATATGTAAGTAGCATGTTAAAAATTTAGATTCTAACTTGTTATTTTAAGAAATTTTTTGTAATGCCATAGATTTTGATTACAGTTAAAAGAATTTTAATATAGCTGCATTATAATGTTATCTTTTTTGATAAAGTTTAATCAAGTTAATTTACATGTTTTCATTTTCTCATTTGGTATAAATCGTATTTATTTCCCTACAATTGTTCCTTATTTAGAAACTTGCATATTTTAGAAATTAAGTTTAGAAGAACTTAGTTTAACTTAATATGAGTTATATTTCTTTATCAGAGAGCCTGAGCTATTGGTTTTCTCTGTTTTCAAAGGGGTCCTTGAAGACACTCATTATCATGACTGTAGTTAGTGCGCTGTAAGCTTATTCCTTATTGCTTTAGAACTATCTGCTTTCATATTAAATACTGTCCCTTTTGGAAATACACTCTTCACCTAAGCAAAAATATATTTAGCTGTACTTTTTCTTCTTCACCAAAACTACCTAGTTAGAATGAGACATATTGCAGCCCATCACCTACTTATTTTATCCTCACTATAACCAATTATATACTTGAGTCTCTGAGCTTTATAAGGCTAGAATGACAAAGACTTTGAATCATTTCCTTCATTTTAGTCCATCTCTACTGATGTGGGCCAAGATTTAGTCACCTGGGGAAGCCTCTGTAGTTTCTGTAGATGATTACATGATATGGGGAAATAAATTCTTTCCATAACATTTATTCTGCTTGCAACAGATTCTTCAGTCTTTCTCTTTTAAAAAACTATCATAATAACATAGCTTAAAAATAAAGCTAATGCTATTTAATAGTAATATATGTCTAAGGAGGAAAAAAATTATATTTAGGGTTATCGTCTTTGGTTTGGGTAAGAATATGTTCTTCCCAGATGATTATTGGCAGGAAGCAGAAAGAAGTCATACTTTAATATAATATATTTTTGCTTCTCTCTCTTCTCTCTCTCTCTCTCTCTCTCTCTCTCTCTTTTTCCTTCCTTCTCAGAAGCAATGATATAGAAAAAGGAAGTGCTCACATGCCTCCAGTAAGGCTTCTTGTATATAAATTGTTAAGGCATTTGGATAGATTCAACTTATATAGGAACTTGACTTTCATGCAGAGAAAACAGGCTCCTGTCCCTCCCACCCTGTATAAAGGCACACTTAACATGATGCAGATGGTCAAAGCTGCAGGCCGGGGAGGAGGAGCAAAAGGGGACCATGCTTGGTTCACCTTTCTCCTGGCCTAAATGGGCCTCTGCACTCTGCGCTGTGACACTGGGGAGCACACTAGAGGTGGTCCATTCTGAGCTGAACAAAGGATGCTCATAGTACTCCTCATCGGAATTGTAAGGGTCATCATCAGGCACAGACACCGAGATGGAGGGGGCTAGGAGTCTACGCCTCTCCCCGCTGGTGGCAGGATCATGGCTGGGAAACCTGTGTAGAGGACCCACTTGATCCTCAGCCCCTTCATCTACAAACAGACACACAGGAAGAAACTGCAGGGAGAACTGCACAAGACAGACACAAGATCAGACGGACGAGACAAACACCTACACAAGGACACGAAGGGCCACAGAAGCAGCACAGCAGGATGGAGGGAAATTAGCAAGATCAAGCTGATGGAGGATGGGAGACAGTGAATGTTTCATGCCTCAGTAACCGCTGAATTTCACCTATCCCTTAAGCAAGTTTGCCATTGATCTAAGTGAACCAAAAGCACTGACAGCCCTGCTGCAAAACAAAAGTCATCCATACATTCCTCTCAAACAAGTCAGAATAACCAAAGAAACATTGGGATAGAAACAAAGGATTACAAAACAAATGTATTCTTTGGAAGAAATTCTTTCATAAAGGTTAACTCTACTCATGCTAATATCAATATATTTATAAGTTAAAAAATAAGAAAGTTGTTAGGATGTAATGCCTGTAAGATTATGAAGAAAACAGTCCTCTTTAAAACATAGCCTTAATTATCTAGGAAGCACAAGTAGTTGGTGTTTTGGCGAATTTAAGTCTAGTTAATAACTTTAACCAGAAAGTCATTTTTAATTTCAATCCTGTTAAGAAAAATCTACAATGTGTTATTCCTCTTTCCTGCCTTAATAAGAAATGAGCAGTCAACATACTCTTTCTTTGGATGCTAAGGCTAATGTAGTACCTAGGGGCATCATTTTAAACCCAGGTTCTCATTTGCAGGACAGTGAAAGTATATTGTTTTAAGAAAGCCTCTAATATTACAAACTTGTTTTCCTTCTGAAAGCTTAACAGAGACACAATTACCTAAAAATTTCTGCAGAGTTAGCTGCAGATTCATCAAGACTTTATTCCACGCAGTTTCATTTGTACCACTGGCTCTTGGATGTTCTTAATGTTTCAAACCTTTTATTGCATATTTCTTATTGAAATACTAAAGTAACTACTCTCATTTCTGTTCTTTCCTGTATCTTGCCTTGGATATTTGTATTATTTAAATATATCTCCTTAAATACACATGCAGATCAGTCTGCTTAGCATTTGGATTCTTGTATAATTCAATGAACACTTGGCTTCTGATGTGGTGCAGACATTACATCTCAGGCCTATGTAGTGGTTGCTAAATTTGCTAATCACTCTTTATTTACTTATATTGAGAAATCAATTTAAAATTTCATGACTCTCAATAATAAGAACAAAATCTATAGTATCTATCTGTACATACTTAGTTTTTATTTAGATCAGATTTTAAGAAGACAAAATTATATCATTAATTTGAAAATATACTGTATTTTTAGGACAGTAACGTATTTGTGGCAACCAAGTGCTGACAACTAGAAATAAGTCTGAAGTCATGAGGATACTAAAATAACATTTTGTAGAGAGAATACATTTAATCTTTCAAGCACATTATTTACTGATTGTTTCATGGAAGATGTTTCTGGATGGATGCTCAGAACTTTCTCAGCCACAGTGCTTTTTATATCATGGGATAGCAGAAGACTAAAATAACGTTTGGTATTCTTAGTTCAACTCGGCACGATTTTGCAGCTGAGCAGATAATTGTCCAAGATCTAGCCTACAACACTGACTGAATCATAGCCCTGGCTTGTCACATGTCCTAGTCATTCATATTTCTCTCAGTGGATCTCTGGGGCTGTAAACTCCTCATATGTACAAATTACTTCTAAAACTCCTGATATTTTCAATACAGTACATTCACAATCAATAAATGAAATGGGATATGTTCCTCTTTGCTTTTCAACATTTATTTTCTAGGACGTGCAGCAGACTTCAGTATAAAACTAAAGAATTTCAAGCTGAGAGTAAAGGCAATACTCATTGGATATTTTAACTTTTGGAAATTTTGGCCCCCTCTTTCTTGTTGTCACTGTTCTTTGTGAAAGTGCCAAAATTTAAAAACAGCCCAGAGCCTTGCTTCATATCTAAAGCGTTAAAAAATTTGTATTTTCTGTTCTGAAAACTTTTACTGTAATCAGAAAACAACAAGAAGAACAAAACAAAGTTTGAAAGCTCCAGTGGAAAAAGTAGCTTCTTTGTAGTATTTGTCTGGCCTCGGACCAAGGCAACTTCAAAAAGAGTGTCTGGAAAAGTCCAGTCTTTTCTTGGTACTGTAAGCTGTCTGTACTCCAAGTCTCTGTTTAAGACCTATGAGCCTAAAGTCCATCTACGTTACAAGCTCTAGAAATATGCCAGGGAAGCTATGCTTTGTGGGGACCAAGGCTGGCTAAGCCAAACAGGGCACTTGATTCTAATGATAATGAGAGAAGATGTAAGATTCTCATTCCTTATAGTGTTGTGTATGGCACGTGCATCTGGATCACTCCCAACAGAGATGGAAGGCATAATAATTTTAAATAAATAAATAATAAATGGAATATTTATTTGTAAGCTTTTTTCTTAAAGGAAATTACTATAGTAGCTTATAACAAACAACTCATTTGAAGATAATTTACTTCCATAGTCTCACAATAAGAATCTTGATAAGAAACAGCTTTAGGGATGTAGCGCAACTGTGGTTGCAGAATTTAGATTTGGATTTGCATTCTGGATAAGCCACTTATCCAGACATAAGCCATGGCATTTTGGGCAAAAAAATGGAAATGAATATTATCTCTGTGGGTTGCTGGGAGGATTAAATGAGAAGATATCTGTGAAAATGCCAAGTACAATGTCTGACTCCATACATGTTATCCTCTGTGTCTTCAGTGTACTCAGACAAGCTGTCAGGTACCTCTGTTCTTTCCCCTATTTTAACACACCAAAGTTGGCATTAAGAGATATATGAAAAATTGAATTCATTTTACAACAGTTAATTTGCTGTTTGAGGTCAGGATTGAATGCATGCATCCTTTTACTAGAAGTAGGCATGCTTCTAGGGACTCTGCTTTTGCCACAGAATATTCTACTTCATTTAATAATGTGTTATGCTAAAAATAGGGTAACCTTATGAACCTTGGACTTTCGTATAACCTTAAAAAATAAAGCTTACCTGGTTTCAATGGAGGAATACATTTTCCCTAGTTTGCTTTCATTCAAACTTTTTTTTTTTTAAAGCATTTGAAAATGTACACTGGGCTAATGTAAGGTTTGCCATGTAAAACCCAGCCTTGGTATGTCAGCCTCCTTTGGAGACTGCATCTTGTGGAGTCAGGGATTCGGTGTTTTTTGCTTGTTGTGGCATCACAGGATATGGTTGATGGCTGCTGGCCCCACTTACATTGTTCTCCACCATTTTCAAGCCCTTTCCATTCTGCCAGCTTTTGACTGAGGACTCTTCAGTCTGCTGACTGTTATTGCTGCCCCAGAATGACATAAAGAGAAAACTACTTTTGGATTAGCGATTATTAGGTCACCACATCCATGACATAGGAAAACACCACCCTAGAAATCTAGAGCAAACCTAAGAGGGCAGAAAGAATCCTTGTTCTGTGTTCAAATTATTCCATACCTGCCCAGGCTTCCAAATTCTAATAGATCAGTCCAAATGACAACTATTACAATTAGGCCAAGAAGAAAAAGGAGGTTAATTTGAAAACATCGTAACCAGTACAGCTTAGTTTATGGTACCATAGTTCCTTTTCTAAGTGTGCAGCTTGTTTCATTTTTTTCTTCAAAATCCCTTGTAAATGTTTTCCAAAATAAGCACATATCCTGGAAATTATTATTACATTAATTATAATAAGTATTCATAAATGATAATAATTAACATATTAAATTATTTTTAGTGGAAGCTTTCATGCTTTCCCTTTGGGAAAGAACAGCTTTAAAAAGTTTGATAATTAATAAAAAGAAAGTGTATCCTCAAAAATCACTGAATACTCAATCTAACAGAAGAGCTTTCTTTCATTTGTATAAAAGGATCAAACTGCAGGAGTCACAGTACCCTCAGATTAAAATTGCTTTGAGGCTGTCAAGGAGGTAAATAATCTCCTAGATAAGGCAGAAAAAAATGCACCTGCTCCCTTTCCGCCTGACCTGCTATCAGCAATATATTGATGGAATTTGGGTTGGGCATTTACAAACTACTTGGTTTGAAAAACTGAACAGTTAAATCTTGTCTTGTGACTTGTCACTAATTTATTTTCTGACTAAACTTAAAAAAATACTTGTATATTACTGAAGTGTGGCTTAACATAAAAGAGGAGTAGTTTGTCTAGACTACAAATCTTTCACATATTTAAGGTGAGAATATTTTCTGGCCTTTATAGAGGTAGAGTTTGTAAAATATATACATATATTTTTCCTAAAACTCAAAAAATGGTTATACTTTTAAAAGCAAATAATCAGAACTTCAGACAATTTAATACTTAAAAAAGTTAAAAATACAAGTTTGGCTTGAAAATAACTTTGAATTACTTTGAATAGGAGGTTACTTGGTTTCCTTGAAACAGGTTGAAGAAAGTAATTCCAAAATGTAAGGGAACTCTGGAAAGTTGACACCTAAGTTACCAAAATGTGAAGGTGATTCTACATTTTATTTATTTATGTTTTCATTATATCCATCATATCACCCTGCAGGAAGCAGGCTGGGTGAATTCCCAGATGGCTGGGAGGACTCTGCTTCTTCCCTTTCTGTTCCAAATCCCATATAGAGTAAGAAGATTAAATGGCTTGACCTCAAACAGACTTTTGGAGTAAACCTACACTGTTAACAACATATCCCTCTCTGGGTTAAGAGGATTCTCTGACGCTTGAAAAGCTTTAAGTAGGAGCTCAAAAACATATTCCATGGCCTGAAGGAGGTACAATGGTCATGTCAGGCTTCCCCCTGCATTCAGAGTAAAATCTAGGCCACGGACCCCAGCTGACCGCTGATAACTCTCACACTTCTCCACTGCTCTACTCTTTCTCACTACCCATTAGCCATGGACCCCCTTCAGTTCCTGGGTCACTTCAACTTCTTGCTCACCTGAGTGCCCTTGTTATTTTTTTCCATTTTTTGTTTAGCCAACACTTCTTCCTCATGCTTCTGGTCTCTGCTATTTAGCCATCCCCTTAACACCCATTAAAATACGGTTTCTCTTGTACTATTTTTAAAGCTCCTTATTCTTTTCCTTTTCAATGCTAATCCACTTTGAAATTATTTGTAAGCTTATCTATTGGATTTCTGTTCCCCAATAGACAGTGTACTATCTATCTATCTATCTATCTATCTATCTATCTATCTATCTATCTACCTACCTATCTTATTCTCACTCTGTTACCCAGGCTGCAGTGCAACAGTGCCATCTTGGCTCACTGTAACCTCTACCTCCCTGGTTCAAGTGATTCTCCTGCCTCAGCCTCCTGAGTAGCTGGTATTATAGGTGTGCATTACCATGCCAGGCTAATTTTTATATTTTTAGTAGAGATGGGCTTGCCTGCCTTAGCCTCCCAAAGTTCTGAGATAATAGACAGTGTACTCTTTAAAAGCAGGGATCATGTCTGTTTTGTTCACTGGTATATGCTCAGAATTTGAAGAGTACCTGGAACATTGTAAGTGCTCAATAAATATGTGCCCAGTGAATGGATAAACATAAGGTCAAAAGAAAGTTTTCAAACCTATAAACTAAAAGATTAGATCACATTAACTAATAATCAGTGGCTGTTATACACTGATTATTATTCCCAAACTTTCTTTTATTCCTCAGAAAAACTTAGTTTGTTTAATATTATTTCAGGCAGTTGATTGAAAAAAAAAAAAGAGGTTCAATTTAAGAAAGAAAAACCTTGCTAAAATAAATTTAGGTTTATAAATCTGTGAAAAAATAAAATTATAATAGAGTTGATAATTTATGATTCAGTAATTCTAATTCTTGTGGTTAGGAAGTCAAAAAATATTTTAAATGAACCTAATTACAAATGATAAAAAGACAAGTCTTTTAAAATAAATGTTCTTCAGTCTTTAACACAGTAAAAAGGAAAAATAAATGAATAAAATAAATACTTTTAAATTTCTGGTTTTAATACATGAAAACTAAGTATTATTGAAACAACAATGGACCCTAGCCCTCCTCTGCCTTTTCCTGTAACTCTCAAACAATACACAAAGGTTAACTGGTCTAAGTTGGAGAACCAGTAATGGTTTCCTTTTAAGTGGTGCCTTTCATCTCAGATTCTGAATGAATATTCTTCAAAGGCATCTTTCTGTTTTATCAATGAGAACTGACATGACATTCCATGTTGAGTACGTTCATAAAAAGATCCATGGACAATAACAGGTCTCAACAGGAAAGAAGTCGTGAGCTCAGCTTCCAGTCCACTGCTCTCAATATCAGATTCATTCATTCACTTCTTCATTTATTCATTAATATTTATTAAATTTGCTATGGGTCAGGCCCTGGGGAAGGCCTTGGCAATATAATAGTGAGCAAAACAGAGATAATTCCTGATATTTTCATAAGGAAGTGTTGATTTTATCAATAAATATGACCCTTACTATTATATGGATTACATTTATATTTATTTTAATTTGGTTCAGTCACTTACAAGGTAGAATTGCATCTTACCTGTTAAAGCATTCTATCTTAAGTAAATGGGTTCTCTATAGTTATTTATAGCAACCAAATACAAAATTCTTTTCCTTAATCAAGCAGATTTCTTTTTAATTTACCAAATTCCTCTAATTTTGCTTTTATATAAATAAGTGATTATTTATTTAAAGTCTTTGTTTCTTCTTCACTATTTGAAACAGATAGCTCCAAAGCTTGGTCACATAGTAACCAATACCAAAGTTCAGAGGTTATTGATTGAAGTTTATTGTTCACCCTTTATCAGAAGACAAACCCTGAAAAGTCCAGTAGGCCTTACCTTCCTCCACTGTGACAGTCTGTTCTGAGGCAGGTGATGGGGGTGGAGAAGGAGGCAGATTAGCTGTTTCTTCAGCTGCTAAAGATCAAACAATGGAAAAATGAGATGCAATAATTAATCTTTTTAGGCTGGTAGATGTGTAGGCAGTTCTGCCATTTGTAAAAAGGCCTCTCTGTAAAATTCAGAAAAATAGTAAGCTGCCTTTGATTTATTTTTAGGCCCATTACCTGATTCATGTGTTTTTGAAAACCTAAAAAATAAGACAAGCATTTGATATTTTAAAAAAAAATCATTTTATCATCTCTAGAAAAACAGATTAGAGATACCTGCTAAAATTCCATCATTAATCTCATTAATGTGTCTACCTGTTCAATTAATAAAATATCTAATTTTGCCCCTAATTTACCATATGAGAATACACACAGGCAGGCATTTTTAGTTTGGATTCAGCTACTGACAGAAAAAAATATTAGAACTCTCTATTGTTCAGCTGCTCAATCTGGAAACGTGTTATCTTGAACACTCATGGTTATTTTAGGGGACATCTTTTTTAAACAACCTTTTGTCCACTGGGTCTAATTTCAAATCCCATCTTCTTTATGAATTCTCAGAAAAGGAAAAATAAGCTTTCACAGCCTGAGCCAACTTTCAGACAAAAAACATGCACTGAGTAAACTTCTGGTCTTAGCATTACACATGAAGAAGAACCAGAGAAAAAGGTTCTAAAGGATGTAATTCATTTACAGTTAACGTAAGTTATGTTTTTCAAGATACTTAGATTCTTTGTGACCCTCTCATATGACAGTAAGAAATTTCAAAAGGAACTATTTCTCATTTAAGGCCAGTGGTTAAATCTATTTTAAAGATTAGAGGAATTTCAGTTTCCTAAAGTAGTTAGTAGAGGCAGCTTTGCAATGACAGGTAACTTTTAATTTCCTTATCCAATGGGCTTCTGCATGGCATATTTTAAGATTTCAAATGTTAAAAAATTGAGTTTTCTTTTCTTTTAAAGAAAAAAAGTGAACAATAGTCTAAAGGTTAATGTTTTAGATTAGATAATTCTTTCCCTATATGTTTTAAAAGAAAAAATAGTCCTTAATAATAAAACAAAACCCACAGCACTAAAAATACTGAGTATATTCTGAATTATTATTCTGGGAGAGCAGATTATTTTTATTATTTACTTTTTAATAGGCAATTAAAGGAATACTGATCAGAAAATCAATTATTACAGATATATTAGACTGTAAGAGAGGGAAATGGATATGTACTATTTTTAGGCCTTTAAAACCATACCTTTCTATGACTCAGGTGTATGTACCTGTGAAATAAATATATATATTGAATTTAAGAGAGTCTCCTTTCTTCTTGTATCTCTTCAGGCATATACATACACATCTGTCTATCTATCTATCTATCTATCTATCTATCTATCTATGGACGGCAAGGCTTTGGCTGAGAATATTTTCTATGGCAAGCATGTGTTACATGACTTGCCAGCCCTGGGGGGCATTTGTCTTGTTACCAAGGGAGAGAACAGCACTCTCAGTGGCCTTAGATGAAACAAGTGAAGGTCAGTACTTTATACAAGATACAAAGTCATGCATGATTATAACAAAGCTCTGGCTATAGGGTTTGTGTAGTCAGTTCAGGAAGACCTAAGCAAGGCTACAGTATAATCATTCACCAAAACCTATAAAGGGAAATACTCATCTCTTATGAAAGTTTTAGTATATTATCCTTCTGGGTGGAGGTCATGAAATAATGCATTGGCTTTATTTTAATAATAACGATTTCTAGCGGTCTGGAAAGTGAAAAATTAAGGGTCACTTAAGAAAAAGTCTACCTGTAAGTTTATTACCTTAACTAAAGACAATGCAAATACTATAACAAACCAGCGGAAAAAGATGAAAATAAGTCCTAGTGCATATCCAGTCAAGGCGTCTGATGAATGTTACATGTCAGGATGAAGTTATGTCCTTACATGTAAGGACAAGATATGGCCTATCTTTTGAACATGAAGACTTTATCGTGTGACCAGGGGGCAACAGACACAGTCCCTGACCTGAGGGTCTTCTCATTTACCTAAAGGCAGAGCTGCAGTCTGGTCTTTATGCTGAGCTTCTTTCTCTTGTTCACCTTTCAGAACCGCTACAGCCTCAGCAGTGACTACTTGAACTATCCTTGCAGACACCTCCTCTGTAATAAATAGTAACAAAAGAAAATATAATAATGATAAGTCTGAAACAGGAAGCAAAGAAGAAAAGCAACCAAACACTATAGTGGATTAAAATTTCATTTTTTTCCTTCTAAAAAATACAATATAATTTTTTAATTGTAGAGAAAACATAAACATAAACATACAAAAAAGAAGAAAAGAAGTTGGCATTCTAGGAGCTAAGCAAAGCAAAGCAAAATGAGCATAGAACTGAGAAAAATATACTTATATGGTATTTTAATATTTATTGGCTTAAATAACAGAAATTTATTTTCAACTCTGAAGTCCATGACATCTCTGTTATAGGAAGAATGTTTGTATCCCCTGCCCCCAAAATCATCTGTTGAAATCCTAACTTCCAATGTGAAGGTAATTGGTACTTTATTTTGTAAAAGCTGTTTACACAAATAGAAACAATTTAATCTCTTTATACCTAGTAAAACAAATTCAAGGAGAGATGATTCATTCTGAATTTAACTTAAATTTTTTATAACTGTCTTATACTATTCTAAAAAATATAATTTATATAAGCTTGTGTGCTTGATTTAAATAAATGCCATGATTTAAAATCTGAAAAAAGATGTAAATATACATGTATCTTTTTTCAGATTTTAAATGTATATACCTCACAATGTATATTTGTGATTAAATAGCATTATGAGGGATCAATGCAAATAAGATAAATTATAAAAAGTCTGGAAAGATGAAGTTTTAATGAAATACATGGCAATGACATGTCAGATGGTTTCTTTCTAAAGAACTACTATTTTTCTAGATAGTAGATGTTTTAAAGATCTTTAGAGCCATATGACATGAACTCATCTTGTAAGTGCAACAGTTTCATATTCTTTTTTTAAAAAGAGGGCTCAGAATTAAAATGATCAGTCTGAGAGATGCCAAATAAGTAGTTTTTAGCATCCCTGACTCTTATAATATTCTTTCTCTTAAGCAGAACAATGGAAGAAATAACAAGCACATAATCACAAAATGTTCTAAAAGTCATGAGTGAATGACTAATAGAAATACATCAACTCTTTTAATGGCATGAATGAAGAAAACATACTCTCAGACCTGCTCGTCTATCTGTCTATCTAAAATATATTATTGCAATTGCACTCCTGATTATAGCTGGAGGCTATACAACAAGTGATTAGCCACAGTTGAGCAATATTTATCTATCTATCTACCTATCTATCTGTCTGTCTGTCTGTCTGTCTAATCTATCAACTATCTACCTACCTGACTGCTGGGTGGGGTGTCACTGAACATTTTCTGAAAGGCTGTGCTCCTAAAGTGATATTTTTAATGCGAAAGAGTACACAAAGAGAGCTACAGAAAATTAAATTAGCTTTAAAGACAGTGCTTGGCCATCTAAATTGTTTAATAATGTTACAAAAAGAATTATTTTAGGTTTTGAGAATTGCCACTTACATATATTAATTTTTTTAAATGCAATTAAAGTATTTAAAAATCAGCAGAGATAGGTAGCTTCTTCTAGCACCCAGTGATTTATGGAAAACTGAGTATATAAAGAGGTGGAACAATCATGGCAGATACTGGGATATATATATATAAGACCTTTGTGTCTTCTGGATCATTCCTGCATGTATGCAAACTATAGTATCTTCCTATGGCATTTAGTACATCTCATACGGAATGGTGCTGGTTCACATGGCTTATCTCCCACACTATGTAAAGATGTAAAGTTTCCAAAGTCAAGGACTCTGTTCTGTCATTGTCGCAATTCTAACTTTTAAGTTCAGGGGTACATGTGCAGCTTTGTTATATAGGCAAACTTGTGTCATGAGGGCTTCTTCTATAGATTATTTTGTCACCCAGGTTTTAAGCCTAGTACCCATTAGTTATTTTTCCTGATCCTCTCCCTACTCCCATTCTCCACCTTACAAAGGGCCCCAGTGTGTGTTGTTCCCCTTGATGTTGATGTGTCCGTGTGTTCTCATCATTTAGCTCCCACTTAGAAGTGAGAACATGCAGTATTTGGCCTTCTGTTCCTGTGTTAGTTTGCTAAGAATAATGGCCTCCAGCTCCATTCATGCTCCAGTAAAAGACATGATCTTGTTGTTTTTTATGGCTGCATAGTATTCCATGGTATACATGTACCACATTTTCTTTATCTAGTCTATCCTTTATGGGTATTTAGGTTAATACCATGTCTTTTCCATTGTGAATAGTGTTTCAATGCACAATTCTTGAAGCTTCTTTTATTAAGCTTTACCCAGATTGGATGCTTAACAGGATTTTTTTTGACAGAATGAAAAATTAAAATGAAATGTTTTGTTTATAATATTTATAAAAATTCAGAAGTAATTCATGCTTGTTACTACATTTAGTAACCTTAAAAACCTCAAGTTATCTCATTTACTCTATTAAAGTAGTTGATATACATATCAAAACAGCATTTCTTAAATGGGGGTCCTGCATTCTTGTTTAACTATTGATATATATTTTTAGGGTCTGAGAGTGTTTTACATGAAAGAATTTCTTTTTGATTGGGAAGATAATCCAAAATAAATATCTATTGATTATATGAGCATGATTACAACTGAGTAATTCTACGTTATTTCAGTCTTTTTCTTTGGGATTGTATCTTAGGATACAGTTTTGATACCATAAAGAATTATTTTAATTGCTGACAGCTAATAAGAAAACAGAGATGGATTTATACATAAAGGATGCATTCACACAAGTGTAGTCCAAATAACATTGTGGTACACTGTACAAATGGACTTTGAAAACAGTTTAGAGACAAATGGAGAATAGAAGTATTACTTGTCTCCAGTTCAGTATAGACATGTCCAACTTAAATAAAGGCACTGTATTAGCCAGTACTGTATTTCAATCGTGAGTGATAATTTAGTTTCAGCAAAGCAATATCGTTTACTGTAGATGGGAAGCAGCAGGGAGTTTAAATTTTACTGGTTTTGTTGTTTCAGAATACATGAATTTATAAATGTGTTTATGTCCCATAATGGAATTAGAGCTCATGAATAAGATAATTTTATTTTTGTACACGTTTAACCAAATGTTGTAAAAAAGTAATTTAACCCAATTTGGGGAGAATTGGTAAATTTTTTTCTTTGAAGGAATTTAAGAGATTTTGAGTAATACTATTTTAGCATAGTCAAATGGGCTGTTGGATTAACTGACATATTATCTTTGAGATTTTTTTGGAGCATAATATTGTTAAACTTTTTAAAATATGACATAACACATTTTATAATACAAATTTCACAGTGAATTTAGGAAAACATGAGCCTAAGATTGTTCTGGGAATTTCAATTTGTCCAATTAATTTAAAATCTTCCTCTAACTAATGGCTGTCATCAGCAAAAAAGGCAGCATTCTTGCGGAAGGGAGACGGTGCTCTCCCATTGGAAGCCTCATCAGCAGATCTACTGGGTGAGTTTCATCCTTACAGCATGGCTCCTGGGACAGGAGCAAATTCACTCAGGATTTATGTAAAGATCAGGGCAGATTAATGGTAAATGTTCCAAACAAACTCTGGAGACAAGGAAAGACAGTCACAAAATCAGACCTACAAAAATATAAATGTAATGGTTATGATGTGTGTGATTATATACATAATGTCTTCATTGATTCTACATTTGTCTATTAAATTCTTCTCTTCATCTATTCAACCATCATCCATCCAACCATCCATCCAGTCTTTCTATATATTTAGGGGATTACTGATTGCTGTTTTTTACAGCAAACATCAGAGGGAATCTCACAGACTTTAATTCAGAAAAATGTGGGTACAAACTCCAGCATTGCTACTTTCTAATTATTTCATACTATGAAATGTATTCAATCTCATTTTGCTTCAATGCCTTATTTATAAAATGGAAATAATTTTAGTACCTGTCTCAGAGGTTGTCGTGGGGACTCAATTACATAATTACATAACAGGCCTGGCACGTAATTATATAACAGGCCTGGACTACGAATAAAATGAAAACTTCCAGATAGTCCTTCACCAAGGCATCTTTATTTTCCCCTAGTCATGTATTTTTCTGAGTCTTCTACTTTAATATTTCTACCTTAAAGAAAGAGCAACAGTGATATGCACTAAAGGTCTGCCTAACTAGGCTATTGCTTTTATAACCATCTGATAATATAGTCCAATATCACTGATATTGATGGCTACGGTTGATGGGCAAGGGAAGTATTTTTTCCAAGGCAAAGCTATGAGAGAAGTAAATATTGTCTTTGTTATTTATTTTCTGGCATCACACCCAGTTTCCTGGATGCACAGGTCCTGGGCTACCATCTGCTCAAGATTCTGTCCAGCAAGTCCCAGTTCACGACTATCTATTCTAGACAGTGCTCTAAAAGGTATGATGATCCTGTCCAATCCTGAAGACAATCTGTGACATGAAAAATTCTCTTTGAAGTAAGAGATTAGACTACATGTTAATTTTTCATTGCTTACTTTTTCTACCTGCTATTCCCTTTTCTACTTTCTATTCTTTTTTCTTGCTTTTTCTTCCAAACGCATGTGTAAATTTATAAACAGGACTTAGTTGTTCAGAAGACTAAAGATGAATCTAGATTACACACAAAGTGAGGAATTATTATACATTATATTAATTGAAAGGTAACATTGATATTCATAGCTAAAAACATTAAACAAACATAAAACTGCTTATTATAATCTGATATTTTGAAAGTCTCAATTATCTTTCTTTTGAACTTCTAAAATGTTCTGGCACTGGACATTTTTTAGTTTATGTTAGAAATTTTTTTAGTTAAGAAGTGTATATGATATGTTTTCTTATGCTTTCTCTTGTGAATGTTTCATTCTCTTTTGTAAATGAATGTCAGGGTTTCAGTGCAACTAACAGTAGTTTTTGCATTGCAGTAAGATCCTTTACATTAGTATTTGAAAGTTAATTTATTATTATCAGTAGAGTCAATATGATAATGAGATAAGTTCTATAAGTAATAAAAAATCTTATAATATGCCTGTAAAGTCATGTCATGGCTATGCCAAATGAATGACAACTTGGATCTGACAGCAAATCAATTAGGGGGAAAACATTGAAAAGGAACCTCTCTAAATAAAATTCATCTCATAATTTCTAAAAATGCTATTGGTTAAAGCCTGATTAGAATAAAGGATTTAGGTATTTAATCCAGAGAACAGAGCAATAGGTGATAGCAGATCATCACCATACAGGTAAACACCTGCAGATGAAAACTGAAGTCTGTCTTGAAAACTTTTCCTGGGCAACAAAGATGGGGTTAGTATTCAGAAAAGAGTGTGAAAGCAGTCCTTCCTAGATAAATTAAAATCTGGAAGGAAATAATATCTTTTCTTGGTAGTAAGGAAATATATTGGTGGAAACACATAGAGGAGATTAATAGATAGGAGAAACTAATTGAGAAATGCTGTCATCCACAGAAAATGACTTGATAAAATCCAAACAGCATCATGCTAAGCAATTTATCCTTCACCTAACTAATGAATCAACATCATACTGTTATACAAGGTTATTAAACAAGTTGCTACAGTAGGCACTTTCATTTCTTGTTGATGCTATTTAATGCACATATTTACACATTGTCCAGATGGGAAAACTGGCAAAATAATGGATAAAGATACCGTGTCCCATTTAGACATTGTTATGATTTACATCAGTCTAAGTATTTTATATGAAAGTAGGTTCCAGTGTCAGAAAACCTGGAATCAAATTCTGTCTCCATCTCATACTAGCCAAAAGACCTTGGTTAAGTGACACTCTCTCTAACCTTCAGATTCCCCATCTGTAAAGTGGGAATAAAAGTAATATTCATCTTTTGGTGTGTTGTAACAATTAAGTAAAATAATACAAATCAAGTGCTTATTTAAATTAGGTACCCCTGTTTTAATCACTCTTGATGTCCTGTTATTGAAGTCTATGAACATCGTTTGATTGATAAAATGTAGGTAAGACCTGTAAGTTTTTGTCAGATGTTGAGACGATTCTGTCATTTTTCCCAACTAGTACCTCCTTGCCTAAATGTTGGGCCACTATTGTGAGCCTAACAGACAATACATCAGGCTCCTGACACTTACTATTTGAACTCAAAGGCATGTAAAGTAAATTTTGCTCTATTGTCATATCATATTACTCAGCATTTATAGCCATCATGACCCTCTGTTTTTTTCCATAATGCTGATTCATGCTGCACCACTGCCATGTTCTTCTGGTTACACTATTTACCACAACAAATTTTTTAACCTCTGGCCTTGCTTTTAGCACATTTTTAAAATTATTTTATTGTCTTTATCTATCAATATTGCTTGGTTGATTAATAATAACAGCAATGAAGATGAAACTTTTTCAATAACCTGGAAGTTTCAACTTGTTTCTGAGTGATACATGACATCGTTGGTAGACCCATAAGTTTGATTTTGAATTCGTACCCTGTGGTTTTTCAGCAGAACCAGCTATGATTCCTTGAATGTGCAAAGGTTCACAAATTAGACTGTGAATAAAAAAATCCAAGCACCTTGACATATGCTTGAGAACATATTTTTGTTGATTTTTTTCAGGTTGTTAAGAGAGACGTAAGAGACAGTGGCTGTAAATCCAACCATAAGGAATATAAAAGCCTGCAAACGTTTTAAGAATTTTTGGTATAATAATGCTGTGTTCAAAGAAAATGACAAATAAGCTTACCTTACACTTGTGGAAGAAGGAAAACAAAACAATTTTAGACAGAATGCTCGTGTCAAGAAAAGGTTTTTCTCAGTAGGGTACAGAATGGTTGTCTTGGAAACCGATGCTAATTGCTACTGCTGATGGAAACTAATCAACAAGGAAAGCACTGTGTAGTTTGAAACACTCAGCTAAACAAAGACCCTAAATGAATTCATAAAAATAGGGAAAGAAGAAAAGTTCTTTGCTTCTACTCCTTGCTTAATCTGGAGAGTAAATGGTTCCTCTGAAACTATTTCCTGTAATCAACTGATGATGAAGGAAATTAAAAGAGCAAATTGTTGGGTTTTTGTTTGTTTGTTTCCCTGGCACCTTTGCATTAATTAGAGGCCAGCATTGGCATGTCTCACCCTAGACAGACTTCTATTAATCTCAGGGGTCACAATGGCCAACATTGCAGCTACAGATCTTTGCCTACCAGCTTTTTCTTTCAGAGATTTCTTCTAAAGATTTAGTGATTAAAACAAAGATCAATTTTGATTATGGGGAAAAATGCATTTGAGGTGATGTTAGTTACGAAGACTAGTGCATTTAACATAAAGGAATTATGATGGCACAAAATTCGGTTCTGATGGGTACTTTAAGAGAATTTATGTTGCACCTACTATAGACAATGGAGCTATTCTTAGTCATTAGGGAGAACAAAAAGATGAGTAAAAAATGGTGTTCCCAATTTAAATTGTGTTTAAATGGGGGCAATCTTGTTGAAAGAAATGTTTTGTTTTTCTTCATTAAGATTCACTAGCAGTGGCCACAAATTTTGGCCGATCCTGCCACAGTCACTGATATGGTCCTCTTCTGATATGGATTTACAAATTGGTAGACTAGGATTGTGAGTACAGCGTGTAATTATGGGAGAATTTTCCCTTTCTTGCTCTTTTTTCCTCTACCTCCACTTACATGCTCAAACCCACAATCTTGTTTAGATTACACCTTAATGTACTCAAATGAAGTCTTTAGAGTTTAATAGAACTGGCCTAGAATTTAAATTTGATCAAGGAGGAAAATGTAGTAAATTAATACAGTTATCAGTGAAAGGATACCATAGGTTAAAGACACTACATTATGGAGTCAAAAGTAATTAGAAAATGACAAATCATAAATAATACCTACTGGAAAATTTTGCTTCTAATTTTAAGTATCCAGCTGAAAGCAGGGAAAGGAAAAACACATTTAAGCAGAAGAAACACAGTAAGTCAACATAGTTACAATTTAGCTTTATATTTATCATGTACTAGTTAAAGTTTTCTGCTACTGGTGGTATTGGGGGTGTCCAATGGAGTAATATATGGAAGTTTATGTTGTCTGAAGCCCATATATTAAGCATTTACTAATTAACTAAGGTTGTAATATTTTATCAATCTTAACTTGAGAAAGAGAAATTTCTAGAGAGGTTTGCTTCCCCGAAGTTTTAAAATAGCTTTAACACCAATAAATTGAATATAATCATTAAGGCACTGAGGGAATTGACAGTACTTCTGGAACTTTGAAATGTTCTCGTCAAACAATTATACTACTCTTTGTAGACTTGGGGAAATTGGATTATACTCTCTTCTTCATTAAGTCTTAAAATATATCACATTGCTAAAAGAATGTAGCATGAGACATTTTAAATAATATTAGTGGGAAAATAAAATATCAATAAAACAAAGAGACCTTGAATAAAGCCACCCTGAGAAAGAGTAACTGGGTGATAAACAAAATATATAGTGTGTGTGTAGAAAAGCAATAGTGTGTGTGTGTGTTGTGTGTGTGTGTGTGTGCTTAAGCATGTGCCAGTACTCATTCACACAAAAGTCTTACCATGCTTTTAAAGTCTCATCTAGAGTTCATGTCCTTTGTAGGGACATGGATGAAGCTGGAAACCATCATTCTCAGCAAACTGACACAAGAACAGAAAAGCAAACACCGCATGTTCTCACTCATAAGTGGGTGTTGAACAATGAGAACATATGCACACAGGGAGGGGAACATCACACACTGGGGCTAGTTGGGGCATGGAGGGGCTTGGAGAGGGACAGCAGGGAGTGGGGGCATTGGGGAGGACTAACATTAGGAGAAATACCTAATATAGATGATGGGGGATGGATGCAGCAAACCACCATGGCATGTGTTTACCTATGTAACAAACCTGCAATGTTCTGTACATGTATCCCAGAACTTAAAGTATAATAATAAATAATAATAATAAATAAAGCCTCATCTGTAAGTGGATACCTCACAGGTCTTGGGCACAGGAAGAAAGCTAGGGTTTCTTAAGGAGAAATCGATGCTTCTATAGCTGCAAAACACAGGAATGCCAATGCTGGCCAGAGACAGAGGATATGATGGAAAAAAATTCTAGATTATAAAAAGATGTCATTGGAATTAATTTTTGAAATTAAGTTCTCTATATACCAAAAATAGTCTTTACTAGTTACCTCTGTAAACAAAGATCTTCTAGGAGAAACTATATCTGTTACAATAAAATGGTAAAGATCAGCAGCTTAGCTAACTTTTGTTTGATCCTTCTATCTCATCCCCAACATAACTAAGCAAATCTTTGGAGGCCTTGTGACCTAGAAGCATATGGAATTTAGGAGCCATGTGATGGGAAAAATGACTTTGTTCCAATACATTTTAAGGTACACCCAATGGTCACATGGTAAAACCAACAAGACTTCTGCATAATTAGATTTTGCTTAAACCTCCTTCCTATCCTATCATGTTTCTAGGAAGTTGCAAATAGCAGCAATCATCAACCTTACCTGCTTTCTTCTGAACAAGTTTCTCATTAACTATTAATGTTGTAAATAAGTGATTCTTCATTTCCTATACTTGCATATTTTATTTTTGTCATTGTATCTACATAAAATATTGTCCATAAAGATTCTCTTTACACTAGCACTTGAAGTGACTTGGCAGGCTTTAAGTCAATATTAAATAGACATGGTAGTTCTTTATAATTTTCAAATTGTAACTGAATATATAATCAGATTATCATGTTCAATAATCTTATGAGGGAAGGTACAGTGAAATCAGTTACACTATGAACTTCTGAAAACTGAAATACCTATTATTTTTTTAAAAAGAAAAATACAAAGAAAGTAAAGTAAATCTGAACTATCCTTCTACTGTTCTTCTTTAATAACACTGTTAAATAAAAGCTCAGCCACAATACAAGAAAAGGGATGCAACTTCACTGGAAAAAATCTAAATATGTAATATTGATGACAGTTAAAATACTTTTTGCCAGACCTCTAAGAAGCAAAATCAAGAGACTTTGCAAATCTTCTTTTTACAGCAAGAAGTGTAAGGTGAATGTCATAGTTGTATTTTCATGCTATTATAATAGTAAAAAGCAAATACTTTAATAGAATTTTAAAATTTCTTCATGCAAAAAATATTCTAGAATAAAGATGATTTCTTTTATGTTCTGTATTGATGAATGCATCCCATGGAAAATATTATTAAATGCATTTCTCAATTTTATTTTTTCATTATGTAAGACAAATAAAAAACAAATAAAATTTCAAAGGTACCTTGGAAATTTGCAAATAACATACAAATCTTTAGAAAATATCTCTGGGATATTTGTTGAAATAAAATTTTACATTGATTTTTTTTTTTTTTTTTTTTTTTTTTTGAGACGGAGTTTTGCTCTTGTTACCCAGGCTGGAGTGCAATGGCGCGACCTCGGCTCACTGCAACCTCCGCCTCCTGGGTTCAGGCAATTCTCCTGCCTCAGCCTCCTGAGTAGCTGGGATTACAGGCACGCGCCACCGTGCCCAGCTGATTTTTGTATTTTTAGTAGAGATGGGGTTTCGCCAGGTTGACCAGGATGGTCTCGATCTCTTGACCTCGTGATCCACCCGCCTCGGCCTCCCAAAGTGCTGGGATTACAGGCTTGAGCCACCAGTTTCTATAACTGCATCCCTCAACTGTATTGCTTCTCATTGATACCAAGCACACCTCTGGAAATCCTTTCAAAATGTGAGTGCTATCTCTATTATACCTATTATAGCCAAAGAACTCACTCTTTACTTGAAGACAATGAAGCTTTATATCAGAATGGAAACGATATCTAGAAGCATAAAACTGTAGCTTGTTATGGTAATAGCTCTGGTTGTCCTATTGTAGGAAGCCAGCAGAAAGAGAAAGGTAGATAAAATTTGATGGGGTGGTCGAGTTGAGAAAAATGTAAGAACAGGATGCTATCTAGGTAGGTAGGCTGATATAGGGCAAGGAAATTAAGCTTTGTAATGGAATTTGCAGTGGGAGTTTAGGCATAGGAGCATGTGCCTGCTGACAACTTGAAGAAAGTGAAGAGATGGGATTGGGGAAGCCAACAGAAAAGTGCTGAAGTCATGTTTTATTTACTTCCTAATACTGCATAGGGCTGGTCCTAGGTAGGCAGATATTACTATACCTGTACAACAGTCTACAAAGACAGAGCTTCATTTGTATTGAGAATCACAATCCTATGAAATAGATACATGGGGCTTGCTGAGGAGATGGAAAATCAGATTTCATTAAAAGGTCCTGAAATTTTTATGAAAATATCACAATGAAAATTCAATTTACTACAATAATATGTGAAAAAGATATTATTTTCTTCCTAACAGACAAGGAAAATTTCTAAATCAGGACTTGTACCTTTGTTTTTCAAAATGAAATTACAATTTCAGTATTTCATATATAGGAGCCCTGATTATGAAGCAGTTGACCAATTCTTGGTTCTAAGAATATGCCTAAAAATAGCTTGGCTTTTCAGATTCCTTTCCTTCCCCCTTGCTAGTTTCATTTTTCTCCCTACTTTTACAGAGACCCCTATCCCCACCAAAAATATTGTATGTGAGTTTGTAATTTGGGTTTACTTTCTTAAAAAGATTTTGTAAAAGTAAAAACTCTCTTGAAACTAGAGAACTTTGTTGTTTTTGCTCTTTTTCTTGGACAGTTCTGAAATGGAACATGAAACAAAGAGGCAGGAATGATATGATCTGAAAGCAACTAGAAGGTGATCAAAAGCTATAAGAAGAGAAGTATGATTTTAATGCAATCATTATGGTAATTAGTGTCTTACCTGAAATTTTATAGCATAAAAGAAATGCCTCAACATTTTAAATAGAGTTTAGAGTATCCAGAATACTATTTTAAAAGCAAATTTCATATATTCATTTTCCCACAGAACTGGTGGATACAAGCACTTTCTAATTAAATACTGTAGTTTTTCCACGTTCAGTCTTATCAAAGAACACAGGAAAAAGTTGAAACTTACCATTATTCAAGCCTCAGGAAACTCAATCATTTCTAGTTAGAATTGAAGAAATGCTCAATATTTAAAAATTTACTTTTAAAGTAAGTATAATTTGGGGGAGTTTTTTTTTCACACCAAAAATTAAATTCAAACTTATCTAGTAATTCCATCATGAGATGATAAATTATCAGAGTAATTTAAGTTCACCCTTAAAGAGTGAAATCCAACTAGAAAGGAAACCTGTGTCACCAAAATAGCCAACTCCTTGAGCAGTATTTTTGATGTTGTCTTAGGATCATATGTGCAAGTTAAATGTGGTCTGCAGAGCCTCTCATAACGTATTTTTCTTCAGGATGGCAGATATTTACATGAGAGCAGGGGACTACCGTTATTCCAACTGAATGAAATTCCTCTCTTAAAATGTGACTTTTGTTAAGTGGCTACTCTATTTGCTTCAGACTCAATTATTTGTTTCTTTTCTTATAGCAACCAGGACTTACAAAGAATTAGATGAGAACTGGCCTGGAGAAAATAAATATCTTACATGTGTTGTGATCAACATCAAGTTAGTGCAATATTTGGAGAAAAAGCCATTTTTCCCATGCCAGCATTTGTGTTCCAGTAAAGTTCAAAGGAAAGCGAGTTTTTTCCAATATTTTTAATGCTTTAGTCACACATATCTATTTTTCAAGCTGATGAGAAAAACAACCAAAGTCAATTTTTAAAGAAAGACATGAATAAACATGGGCTGAAGATGCAAAATGCAACAAGGAGAAATAGTATCCAGTAAATTTATTTATTTTTTAAAGTGCTTATAAAAGTAAGTTGATAATTATTATTATGACTATTAGCTTCCTCCTTGTAGAAGAACTTTACTAAATAGTGAAATACTCAATGCTTAGACTTAGAA